TTGTTCAGACCAGCCTTTTATGTTTTATTTTTGGAACGATCTCAGTTGTGATATGGTACATAGTTGGATTATAAGTTTTTTAGAGTAAGGACATACAAGTGACATGCAATAGCAACTTATCAGAAACATTTATTGTGTGCATTGGAATACGAGATGGGTATAACGAAACAAGTGTAACCCTCACTCAGTGGGGATGCTTTTACCCACTGAGGTGTTGTGGTTAAGACGGGCTGACCCTGAGATTAAGTACACACTGACACCGACAGTTGTTGTCCAGTACTCGCTTTATTTACAGCATCAAGCCATGACGGCGATGCAACACAGTAGTACAAAACAAACTAGCCAAGAAGAAAAAATCCAAAACCAAATCCAAAAGACCAAAAGTCCAAAAGAAAAAAACTGTAGCCCTTCATTAGGTCTACATCTTGGTCCACAGACAGCAGCCTTGCGTGTGCCTGACACGGCTAGGCATGAAACTACCCACAGTCCCATGTCACATGACATGGAACACAGGTAACATCGCTCACAAAAGCATAAAAAAAACAACGTCAACAGTTCAGTTGCAGTCCCACAGGTGCCGCAACCCAATGAATAAAAACTTCATATTTTTATCCCCCTTGGCTGGTAACCATATGTGTTACACAGCCCCCCTCACAAATAAATGTACAATGGAATTCACATTTACATTTACATTTACAACTCATACTTAATAGTACTTTAAAAAAAAGTTCAGTACACTAGTACACAGACATTAAGTCCTTTCAACTCAAATAGATTATTCCCGGCAAACCGGTAGAGGCTCCAGTGCTGGTACTGGTCACCACTTGATGCGCCAGGTTGAGTCGCTCGACGGGTCGTCGTTGACGGGTTGACCTCCGCAGCTCCGCTGGTGGTTCTGGGTTGATCCAAGAGTCATCCTCGTCCGATGCCTCGTCCCTCGCATTCACCTCATCCAGATGTGGGGCTGGCCTGACCATCACCTTGTCTTGTCCGTCCCGGGCGACCACCTCTGGCACGAAAGGCGTTGCCTCCGGCCGAAGTCTGGTTGGGACCACTACCTTGATTGTCAGTTCCTCACCTTCATCTGCCTCACTGGTTGGGGTGATCTCTCTCCGTCGCTCCCCCTCCGCCACAGTGGGTTCAGCACTCGACATTGTATAGTCGGGTCGCTGCCAACCACGGCGGCGTCCACCACGTCGTCGGCCTCTCCTCCGGCGGCGTCTCCGACCTCTGCTTGTGTCATGTCTGTCTCCCAAAGCGACGATCTTGCTCGCGCTGAGACTGACATTCATAGTGTGGCTGTCTACCCTCCTCACGCGCAACCTCCGGCTGCAACCCTCCTCCACGGCGGAACACCCGACAGCCGTACCTCCAGCCGCTAGGCGAGGTAACCTGAGCTGTGGTTGCTCGACACTGTGCTGATCTCGGTGGCGTAAACTTGGGCTGGGAGCTTGGCAGAACACGCATCAGCATCCGCTCCCCGACGCTGATCGACTGGCGTTTCCCCTGCTGCTGACTCCGTTGCCTAGCTGCTTTCCTCGGACAGTCGCGGACGAAGTGCTTCCTGGACCCGCACCCGTAACAAGCTCCTCTGTAAGGCCGTTGTTTCCGGGCTAGTATAGCTGCTGCCACCTTCTCCGCCAGACGGTCAAGTTGTTCCTCCGTGAGTATCAGCGGCGTCGTCTCTTGGCGAACAGCTGCCGTTAGTGAGTCTACCTGGATAGTCCTGTTAGCTGCTGCCGTGGCTACGACTGGGGACTCAGTTGTCCCGTCCAGCCTTTTAACAGCTTTCAGGACGGACTCCATCTTCGGACTGGCTTCCCCTGCAAACCCGCCCGTGGGTAGAAAGTCGGTGAACTCGTCCTCATCGCTGTGTACTGGAGCACACACCTTCACCGTCACGGGCCACTGCACACTTGCCTGTATCGCCGCCATCTTAGCCGTCAATTCGGCCAACTCCTGCGACAACTTCTCGAACGTCGGCTTGGTGCTTTCCATCCTACCTCCCAAGGTCAAGCCCCACGTTGGGCGCCAAATGTAACCCTCACTCAGTGGGGATGCTTTTACCCACTGAGGTGTTGTGGTTAAGACGGGCTGACCCTGAGATTAAGTACACACTGACACCGACAGTTGTTGTCCAGTACTCGCTTTATTTACAGCATCAAGCCATGACGGCGATGCAACACAGTAGTACAAAACAAACTAGCCAAGAAGAAAAAATCCAAAACCAAATCCAAAAGACCAAAAGTCCAAAAGAAAAAAAACTGTAGCCCTTCATTAGGTCTACATCTTGGTCCACAGACAGTAGCCTTGCGTGTGCCTGACACGGCTAGGCATGAAACTACCCACAGTCCCATGTCACATGACATGGAACACAGGTAACATCGCTCACAAAAGCATAAAAAAAACAACGTCAACAGTTCAGTTGCAGTCCCACAGGTGCCGCAACCCAATGAATAAAAACTTCATATTTTTATCCCCCTTGGCTGGTAACCATATGTGTTACACAAGCTAGAGGAAACAAAGTGGAATTCAACTGGAAGACAATATGGAATTCAAATGCATTGTTAAAAAAATCAGGATCTATAGCTAAATGTGAAGTCTCTTTTACTGTATGGCTCGGAGCTAGATTATAGACAGTGGCAAATGAAATAAGCATGAAAAAGTGGTGGTATGGCAAAATATCAGAAAGACAGTAGTATGCAAAGCAAAGTAGCAGTATCTTTTTCATAATTTGGTGGATAATTTAGGATTGCGGCTTAGGAGTTGTTTTTTTCCTCTTTCTACCGTTTTGACCCCCCCCCCCCCCCCCCCCCACCTCCCTCCCAACGTCGGCACCCCGGAAAGCCGCCCCACCAGTCCTTCCCTAACTAAGCCGCTAGTTTGAAGGGGTGAACGGAAAAAAAGTCACAGGAAAAAAAACACAGAAAAAAAGTCAGTTTTTGCTAGGAAAAAAAGTCACAGAAAAAAAGTCACAGTGGAAAAATTTTATCGGAAAAAAAGTCACAGAAATAAAGTCACAGAAAAAAATTCACAAAAATCTTTTTAGAAATCGTTTTATTAATTTGTTAAGAATTGTAAAATTTTGTATGTTTATTGTTGTGGGTTGTATTTTTTGATAGCATAAATTTTTTATAGACGTTAAAAGCATTATGATTTATAACAATTGTAAGTAAAAATACTCTAAGATAATTAATACAACAATCTCAACTTTTGTTACGCATTTAGTTGAATACGCGGTAGAAAAGTTAATTATAAAAGAAATTTAGGCACAGTTGCCGTAGGCTACTCTCTGGTCGGCCTCTCCTCAGTAGGCATTGTCTGAACATATTTTGTGTTGTTGACGTTATGTGTCATTGACAGCCTTTGAACCTTGTCGGCTTTCTGTTTTGATCCTAAGTTTTGTTATGTAATGAGCGTGATAAATGTGGGCAGTAAAGGTGGTTGAACTAAACATAACTATTGTTGCCATGATTTGAGGCCAGCAAGTCAGACGAACTTACCATTTCACGGTAATTTAATATTGGTATTTTAAAAAAAACACGATAAAAACGTGGACTTTGGAGCATTCTATTAAATGCCACTAATCTTAAGTTTAAAATAATTACAATCTACATAAACAGTCAACTTTAATGTAGGTCTTTCTTAGCCCCATATTTGGCGACCACAACGATATAAACACCGATGATAAATCGAGGATTGACAAAAGGAAAGCCGCTTTCTCTCAATTCAGCGGGCCTTCTGGCCTTATAGAACTCTTTCGAGACAACCCAGTTTTAAGTTTTATAGTATAGAGCAAACAACCGGAAGAAATAACTAGAACACAATTCATTTTTTGTTCAGAGTTTCTTCCAGGCATCTCTTCGGGGGGGGGGGGGGGGGGGCAGAGCCCCCCGAAGAAAGTCTACCGCCCCCCCCCCTCCCACCGAACGAGATGGAATTTATATAGCAAACATACACTTTTACTAGTGTCCGCCCCCCCCCCCCCGAAAAATGTTGACCGCCCCCCCCCCCCGAAAATATCAAGTGCCCCCCCCCCCCCGAGAAAAATGTCTGGAAGAAACACTGCTTGTGTTACAAGCGCACATAGCTGCCTTAGCGTTGCTTTAGAAAGTTTTCTAAAGCAGAGAAAAACTGTGGTTAGAGGTCCATTCCAATAAAATATGAAATGCAGTAAAAACGGAAACAGCAGATGAAAATGTGTAAAGTAGACCAACAAATGTAGGAAATAGTTGCCTCATTTTTTGCGGGTGTCTAGACGTGGAAGGCGAAGAATAATGTATGCAGAAGACGAGGAAATTAAATGCATAAAATTGCACATGGTTTACAATTTTTAAAATTAAAACAGAAGCATTTTTATTTTAGCAAACGTTTCAAATTTTTTGTCCGAAAAGGCGCCTCTGTCCTGAAAATGGCCTCCACTTCCCTTTCGTCACATATCGTCACTAATGTCGGACCCCCCCCCCCCCCCTCACCCTATGAGAGTGACGTCGTTTATGGAAGACATGTTTGCGAATAGTCCTATAACTATAAGTCCTTTTATAATGAAATATGACTGATCCTTCGTTGGGCTAATGTATTTTTTTAAGCTGACTTTTTACTTATGTTTTGAATGTGTACAAAAATAACATAAGATTTAATATTTAATTATGATGAATTCCAATCAAATATGTTAATATTTATTAAGTAGGTCTTACCATGAAAAATGTTTTTGATTTATTATAATATTATATGTTCGTTGTTTTTTTTTTTAATAACTAGCATAAGCATTCGATAATTAGTAAATACTTTTGAGTTGACCTTTGACTTTCGACTTTAAAAGTGTAACTTTTTTTATATAATCAAACAATACAATGACACTTTCGTCTTCAGCTACACCCAAAACTTCGCCGCTGGAAAAAATAAGTGAACCACAGTCCAACTTTTAGTCTAGACTCTTGACCCTCTATCCGAGTCTATACCGAGCAACGAAATATAGTCTTGATCTTAAATCCTAGATCAATATAAAATAGATACTGGAACAGTTACAATATGACTTCAGCTGCAAGTGGATCAAAGTTTTGGGTAAGTCTAAGTCTAAAATCTAAAAAAACCTCTAAAATACTAGACTTTAACTAGACCTAGATCTATACAAGTATTTAGTATAACAAGTATCTAGATCTAGATCTAGAAATCTATAGGGTAAAGGAGGGCGTTAAGAGCCACACTTTTTAGCACCTGTACATTTTAAAAGATTTCTACTAATCTAACAATTTTTTAGTATTGAAAATATGGCAAAATTATTCTAACATATCTTACAGACTTACACAATATAAAAATAATAACAAAGTCTATTAAATATACTTTAAATGGGTTTAATTGAACATTTATTGTCATACCCCCAAAATCCGCATTTGGGGTGAAAGGAGCCGGGCAATGGGGCAATAAGTATTATCTCCTAGTTTAGACTAACTCTGCAATAAAAATAATTAATTTCTAACCCCAAAATAGTTAATGCTGTGTACACACACTTTAACTGATACTAGCTATCACTAGGCCCCAATGGGCCCAGTCTACAATTGATACAATTGCAGGTGTACATAGGGCCTAAAGTCTAGTAGTTTACAGTAGGCACATTAGTATGCCTAGTGTGTAGCTAGTATACTAGTGTGTAGCTGTCCAGAGTTAACATTCTTGTATGTAAAAAGGGGTGGTACTAACTAATCTGCCTTAATGCTTTCCCCTGATAAGCCATGTGTGCTATACATTACATAACATGACATGGAGGTGAGAAATGTTGATTGGAGAGCAGTGGTACTGGTTTCCCCTTTGTTCTCCTTGCTGGACCCTGAGGGCCATAAATTACATAAGAAGATGCTATCTCTGGTTGGCTGAGATCTAAGAACTAAGTCCATGCTACCTACAAAGTGATAAGTTTTATGGTGGGTTAGATACAGGTGGGGGCTGGGTATCATAAGGGTGAGAAATTGTGAGGGGAGAGCAGTGGTACTGGTTTCCCCTTTTTTCTCCTTGCTGGACCTTGAGGGCCATAAATTACATAAGGAGATGCTATCTCTGGTTGGCTGAGATCTAAGAACTAAGTCCATGTTACCTACAAAGAGATGAAGTTTTATGGTGGGTTAGATACAGGTGGGATCTGGCTATGATATCATGGAGGTGAGAAATTGTGAGGGGAGAGCAGTGGTACTGATTCCTCTTTGGTCTCCACCCTGCTAGACCTTGAAGGTCATATATTACATAACATGCCACCCCAGATTGTCTGAGATATGTAACTGTAATCCATGTTACCTACAAAGAGATGAAGTTTTATGGTGGGCCAGAAACTGGTGGGGCTGGGTATTATGGTGGTAAGAAATTGTAAGGGGGGTGCAGTGGTATTAATGTGCCTGTTTACTTCCCTGCTGGACCTTGAGGGTCATAAATTACATAACATACCACCCCAGATTGGCTGAGACCTAAGAACATTTATTCCTGTTACCTACAAAGAGATTAGAAGTTTTATGGTTGGTTAGAAACAGGTGGGGGCTTAGTCGGCTGTATTGCCCCTTAGGGGTAATAAGTACTTGTACCATTTTAAAAATTACCTTGCTAACATCAGATGGCTGAATTTTTACTTTTTAGCAGGTTAGAATTGTAGTTCTATCATTTAGACACAAGTCTGTTTAACAGTAAATACATTTTGTGTTAACTATTCCTATACCAGTGTCATATTCAGTGGTCTAATAAATGAGAAACTTGCACATAGGGTTTCAAGAGCCACATAACAGTATATGTTATAACTTTTCTAAAGAGGCAAGCTAGTGGACAAAATTAATGTATTCATGTAGATTTAGTTATTATCTAACAAATAAAACCATTATGGTAATGATCAGTCAAGTTTTACTCTGATAATGATAAAAACTGTATAGCATGGTAAAATGGGACGAATATCGGCCATTTTGTTTTGACACCAATAATCACTGTGCAAAAAAAATTCACCAAAATAAAACTATTCTAGCCATAGCTATAAAAATAGTGTTAAAATGTACAACAACCAATGCTCTAATACAGGAACAAAGAATGGGCTTGAAAAAACTCATTTGGTTTATTACAAAGTGAAGTTTCCCAAGTTATGTCTATTTGGAAAAAAAGTTCACAAAATGGTTTTATGGAGATGAGAAATTTTAGGGAAAGAGCAGTGGGATTAAATCCTGTCTCATCCTCTCCCTATTGGACCAAGTGGGTCACAAATTACATAAAATGAATCCTCTGCTTCTCTGTTATCAAAGAACAGCAGTGGTTGTTACCTCAGAAGTAGATTAGCAGTGTTATTGGGGGTTTTGTGGGGGTGGGGTGTTGATTGGGGCTTAATACCACACGGCTCTTAACGCCCTCCTTTACCCTACTAGATATCTAGAGTCTATGTGTATATGTAACTATTGTAACTAGAATCTACTAGTTTAGGTCTAGATATATATATATAATACTAGGCCTATATATTATATATTATTGTATTTAGGCCTAATGTATTTATTTATATTTACTGACTTGTCTTAAAATGCCTTAAAATAAAAAGATAGCTGCTAGTTGCAGTGAATGGAATCTGTGTCATTTTTCATTTTATATTATTTTTATTAATAAATAATTTTAATAATATTATAAATTTAAATTATTATAGGCCTAACAAGTAGATCTAGCTAGATCTAGTAGCTAGTAACAAGTTGAAAGTTAAAAGCAACAATTTTGTAATCTTTAATGGAGGCGACCAACTTGATGAGAATCCTTCCATCATATTGTTGACATGGATTAAAAACTTGCTTTTTTAGATTTTGCAATCAAAGCAACCGTAAAAATAATAAAAAATAAAAACTTAAGCCTAAAAATAAACAAGTAATTTAATATTTTAAGAGTCAATGTTATAAAAGTTGCAAATCCAGAGAATTTGAAAATAATTTGGTGAGTTTAAGGCTACATTTCTATTTATTTTCATCAAGCCTAAGTTATGACCTGATGTTTCACTTTCATAATTGATTGGCTGTACAGGAACTTTGTGATAGATTTCTGACAGCCCCACAGAGGCGTAGCCACGGGGCAGGGGGGGGGGTACATATGTCCCCGGGCGCCGACCTAGTTTTTTTATTTACAAAACTTTGCAGAAAAAGTTTTTAAATAACAATGCAAATTTAAACCCCATGACCTAGTTTTCCCTTTTTTTTCACATACAATGTGTACAATAAAATATATGGTAGCCTATTGAATAACAGGATGCCATTGTTTATGTCGCAATTACACATGAAAACTAAATTGTTTTTGCTTTTTTTTCTTTTTTTTTATTTAGTTACCGAAAATATTAAAAACATCAAATACATCTAATCCTTAGCATAGTCCAAAAAAAACAACCCAGACAGACAGGATTTTATAACTATGATTAATTCCTGCCTAAGCCACTATTGTACTTAATACTAAGTATATAAACTTTTATAATTGGCATTTTATACTTTTTGATTGGATGATTGTTTTCTCCTCCCCATCGTCACAAGAAGTCAGACTTCACTAAAATGACAATTACATTTTTTCAAACACTATCCTACAAAAAGCAATTTTTGTTTTTGAAAGAGCAATTTATTTTTATTTCTAAAACATTTACCTAGTTGGACCAAGATTTGATGTGTTATGATTAATTTTTATAATAACTTACAACAACAACAAAGTCTGATGAAAAAAGGTAAATTACTGCTAAAATTCAGTGCAAAAAAAATACTTTTTAAAATGTGACATCACACATCTTTAACCCCCATCTCTTGTGACACACTATCAAAAAAGTCAAAACATTTCTTCCTCCCTTGAAGCATGATAGATGAACTGTATTGTAAGTACTATAAACAATAACAATGCTTATTTTTTCACACAGCAGTATAGTATAAAAATATTAAATTTTAAAGTATGCTTTAGGTCCAGCTAAAGCAAGCAGCTGTAATTGTCAATGGGGGCATTCTGTTGTTTGGAGGTATCAACTTGTACAGAGGCAATGAGAAATTTTATGAAGAAATTGGCATGCCCTTGTTTCGGGTGTTTGGTGCTGAGACAGCTCATAACTTGAGCATAAAGCTAGCCAAGTACAAAATTGTTCCACGGCCGAGTGTACCAGACCCACCTGCTCTGGTAAGCCTATTCTTTATAGTTTAACTACAAATTACTTTCTAATTATGCTTGGGAATTATAAAAATCAAATACTGAGTTACATAAAACTCTGTTTTAAGAATTTGATTTAAATCGGTTATTAAAAAGAAATAAAATATTTTGTAATGTGATGCCATCTCAAAGATGTTTAATACTAAAATTAATTTGAAATGATAACAGATACAGAGCTTTGTTCAAATTGGATATAACGTTCTCTAACAGTTGTGTGAATTGAATCTGTGATGAAATAGATAATCATCAAACTTTTTAAAAAAACAGTTGTAATCATTCTCCAATATTGTCTAAAGCTAATATTGTCTTGATTAATATCTTTTAGTTGTGCTGTAATGAAGCCATGATAGATTCAGAGGAATTTATGTTTCATGCTTATTCAGAATATTCATTCAATCAATTTTTTTCATTAAATGTTCATTAGAAAACTGAGCTTTGGGGGCGATGTTTTCCCAACATTGTAGGACTAGCTGCAGGTTTTGACAAGCAAGGGGAGGCTGTGGATGGACTGCTCAAAATGGGCTTTGGGTTTATTGAGGTCGGCAGTGTCACGCCTGAACCACAACCAGGCAATTCAAAGCCTCGAGTTTTTAGATTAACAGAAGACAAAGCAGTTATAAATAGGTTTCTGTTTTTTTCAATTTCACAAAATGAGATTTCTAATTTGATCTTGTATTAAACTGTTTAGCACTCTGTGCACAATTTTTCTGATGTAGCTAATAGGTTTGTTCTTTAGATTTGTTAGAATTTATAGACACTAACCTGCTCGTCAATCCAAGTGAAATCACATTAACTGGTTAATATTTCTAATCCTAAAGGTACGGCTTCAACAGTGAGGGACATGAAGCTGTGTATGAAAGACTGGCTAAAAGACATTCAGACAATCCATCAGGTACAGGAAAACAATGTCTCATGTTGTGTCTTAAATCCCACCACAATGTCTCATGTCTTGTCTTAAATCCCACTACAATGTCTCATGTCTTGTCTTAAATCCCACTACAATGTCTCATGTCTTGTCGTAAATCCCAATTTGCTGCTTATTTCCTGTAGAATAGTTTTCTACAAGAATTCATGAACAGAAAAAGTAAAAAAATCAGGTCATAATCTAATGACAGCTAGTAAACTAACATGCGTTATGCATAATTTATCATGATTCTAAAAACACAATTTTAATGACATTATTGACAGTCACATTTATTTTTCTTATAGTACAATACTTTAAGAAAACTGTTCTATGTATGTTCAACATTTTTAAGAGACTTGTGATGAAATGACACAATAACTGTGAGCCTCCAAGTGTGAATTTGGAATATAAAATAAAACAAATATTTAAAAAACTTTAAAGTAATTAACTTTTAAATGCTCTGAAAATTTTGAGAAAGTATAAAAAATAAAAACTTTGGTTGCTAAAATATGAAAGTGATCTCATGAGCGGTCAATGCTTTTACTAAAGAAAGCAAATTTTGTTTTATTGTTTTTATTTTCAATACATTTTAAATATTATTATAAAGGTTTTTTTTATATTTGTTTGATATTATAATATTTAGTTAATCGTTCTTAATAAAGTCAACAACACATGACTTAAAATATTTGCTTTCAAACCGAATCAATAACTTGCGATCTTTAAGTAGCAATTATCTGCCCTTTCTTAATATCCATGGTTGCTCTGAGGCGCAAAATCAACCACCCGTAATCAGACTGATTGAATGTTGGCTTGAGATTAATCCTGTTGGTATCCCTCTTTTTATGATTTAAATTATTTAAACATCTAATATAATATCTAATTTCCTAAAAAATTAGATATTCTTATATTGTCTTCAGAGTTGAATGAAATAACTGCATTAGAAGTGGGACCAAATTGAGTTACAAGATTTGCCACAAACCCACAAACTAACACCAATGTTACCTAACTAAAAGCTTATTAAAATATGTAATGTTTTATTATCTGATGTCCTAACATTATAATGATGAAATGCACTCAATTATTCATGCAATACAGTTAATGGGCTGTCTAGCTCATCCAGACACATGGCTAGTGTCATTAAATCATTCACATCTGGGATCTTAGGTTACCTATTGACATATCTTGCTGGTGACATTAAATCATTCACATCTGGGTCTTAGGTTACCCATTCACAAATATCGGAGAAACGAGAAATATGCTTAACATAAATTTTTGGACGCAAGTAGAAGATGAGGACCGGGAAAAGTCTGATAGTGGTTGGATTAAAGTGCTGAATAGAAGGAAATTCCCTTTTAAGAGAAAAGGTAATTGAGAGGATTGAAAATCTTGTTTGGGTGTGTAATACTTTGTTTCACTATCTGCTGGCGTGTAGTTTTGTGTTCCACTGTCTCCAGTCGTGTACATGACGATGCACTGGTGTTGGCGCAAATCAAAATTTGGTCACTTTTCTCACACTCCCTGTAACAGTTAATTGAATTTGTTTTTTGTCTGCCAAATTTATGTGACATAGAACACTGTAATAATTTTCTTCCCCCAGAAAATGGCATCCTTGGCATTAACCTGGGGAAAAACAAAACCTCTCCTGATGCAATAGATGATTTTATAAAGGGTGTGAGGAAACTTGGGCCCCTTGCAGACTACCTGGTGATCAATGTCTCTAGCCCCAACACACCTGGCCTGAGGGACATGCAGCGCCAGGAGGAGTTGGCACAGCTGTTGGAAAAAGTAGGTCAACTGGTGGGATTTGGATTAGCTTGTTGAATGTCAGTATTTGTAGGGGATGTGTCATAAATCTACTCATGTCAGTGGTTAGTATTTGTAGGGGATGTGTCATATCAGTGGTTAGTATTTGTAGGGGATGTGTCATGTCAGTGGTTAGTATTTGTAGGGGATGTGTAATAAATCTACATCATTAGCCTTGTTGAATGTTAGTGGTTAGTACTTGTAGGGTATGTGTCATAAATCTACACCATGTGCCAATATATTTTACTCAGGTGATTGAAGAAAGAAACAAGCTGACAGTTAATCCCAAACCCCCACTGCTAGTGAAGATTGCCCCAGATCTAACAGAGGATGAGAAGAAAGATATTGCAACTGTCATAACTAGACCTAAGGTGAGCTTTCATTGTACATTATAGGATATATTTCTTGTGGTGGGGTACATTTGTTCTACTTGTGGTGGGGTACATTTGTTCTACTTGTGGTGTGATACATTTGTTCTACTTGTGGTTGTGTGATACATTTGTTCTACTTGTGGTGTGATACATTTGTTCTACTTGTGGTGGGATACATTTGTTCTACTTGTGGTTGTGTGATACATTTGTTCTACTTGTGGTGTGATACATTTGTTCTACTTGTGGTGTGATACATTTGTTCTACTTGTGGTGTGATACATTTGTTCTACTTGTGGTGTGATACATTTGTTCTGCTTGTGGTGTGATACATTTGTTCTACTTGTGGTGTGATACATTTGTTCTACTTGTGGTGTGATACATTTGTTCTACTTGTGGTGGGATACATTTGTTCTACTTGTGGTGTGATACATTTGTTCTACTTGTGGTTGTGTGATACATTTGTTCTACTTGTGGTGTGATACATTTGTTCTACTTGTGGTGTGATACATTTGTTCTACTTGTGGTGTGATACATTTGTTCTACTTGTGGTGGGTTACAAAAATTGTTCTACTTGTGGTGGTGTGATACATTTGTTCTACTTGTGGTGTGATACATTTGTTCTACTTGTGGTGTGATACATTTGCTCTACTTGTGGTGTGATACATTTGTTCTACTTGTGGTGGGTTACAAAAATTGTTCTACTTTTGGTGGTGTGATACATTTGTTCTACTTGTGGTGTAATACATTTGTTCTACTTGTGGTTGTGTACATGTCGAGCTATATTGATGTCCTGCTGAGAGAAAATCAGCCACAGTTTTGTTTGACCTGAACTTTGACCCAGACTGCTGACCATGTTCTGTAAGATCTTGTATGAGTTTTTGTTCCTTGTGCAGTTTATTCCCCCCCTCCCCCCCATCAAGTTTGACCTGTATTTTGAATGTGTAGAGCAAGGTTGATGGGATGATCATCAGCAACACAACTGTAGCCAGGCCTGAGTCTCTAGTCAGCAAGAATAAAACAGAGACTGGGGGTCTGAGTGGAGCACCACTGAAAGAAAAATCTTTGCAAACAATTTCTGACATGTACAGGCTAACAGGGGGTGAGTACCAGACTTTTTTTTTTAGCTTTTGGTGCAGGTGAAAAATGTATTGTTCTGATAACATAAAATTATCATTAAAAAGTTGTTAACATGTTTGGGGTTACTTTTCTCTGATGTGCCTTTTTTTTAGATCTGTCTGTTGTTAGATCTGTTTAGATCTGTCTGTTGTTAGATCTGTTTAGATCTGTCTGTTGTTAGATCTGTTTAGATCTGTCTGTTGTTAGATCTGTTTAGATCTGTCTGTTGTTAGATCTGTTTAGATCTGCCTGTTGTTAGATCTGTTTAGATCTGTCTGTTGTTAGATCTGTTTAGATCTGCCTGTTGTTAGATCTGTTTAGATCTGTCTGTTGTTAGATCTGTTTAGATCTGTCTGTTGTTAGATCTGTTTAGATCTGTCTGTTGTTAGATCTGTTTGTTGTTAGATCTGTTTAGATCTGTCTGTTGTTAGATCTGTTTGTTGTTAGATCTGTTTAGATCTGTCTGTTGTTAGATCTGTTTGTTGTTAGATCTGTTTAGATCTGTCTGTTGTTAGATCTGTTTGTTGTTAGATCTGTTTAGATCTGTCTGTTGTTAGATCTGTTTAGATCTGTCTGTTGTTAGATCTGTTTGTTGTTAGATCTGTTTAGATCTGTCTGTTGTTAGATCTGTTTGTTGTTAGATCTGTTTAGATCTGTCTGTTGTTAGATCTGTTTGTTGTTAGATCTGTTTAGATCTGTCTGTTGTTAGATCTGTCTGTTGTTAGATCTGTTTAGATCTGTCTGTTGTTAGATCTGTCTGTTGTTAGATCTGTCTGTTGTCAGATCTGTCTGTTGTTAGATCTGTTTGACCTGCCATTGTAGTCAAGTTGTTTGAACGTGTTACAGGTCAAGTTCCCATCATTGGAGTGGGTGGCATCAGCAGTGGCAAGGATGCGTATGACAAGGTCAAGGCTGGCGCAAGTCTCATCCAGCTATATTCAGCTCTGGTCTACCAAGGGCCACCAGTGGTCACCAAAATAAAGAGGGAGATGGATGAGCTCTTGAGGTAGGCTTTTGTTGCTAGTCACATTGTTGAGGTAGGTTTTTGTTGCTAGTCACATTGTTGAGGTAGGCTTTTGTTGCTAGTCACATTGTTGAAGTAGGCTTTTGTTGCTAGTCACATTGCTGAGGTAGGCTTTTGTTGCTAGTCACATTGTTGAGGTAGGCTTTTGTTACTAGTCACATTGTTGAGGTAGGTTTTTGTTGCTAGTCACATTGTTGAGGTAGGTTTTTGTTGCTTGTCACTTTGTTGAGGTAGGTTTTTGTTGCTAGTCACATTGTTGAGGTAGGCTTTTGTTGCTACTCACATTGTTGAGGTAGGTTTTTGTTGCTTGTCACTTTGCTGAGGTAGGTTTTTGTTGCTAGTCACATTGTTGAGGTAGGCTTTTGTTGCTACTCACATTGTTGAGGTAGGTTTTTGTTGCTAGTCACATTGTTGAGGTAGGCTTTTGTTGCTACTCACATTGTTGAGGTAGGTTTTTGTTGCTAGTCACTTTGTTGAGGTAGGTTTTTGTTGCTAGTCACATTGTTGAGGTAGGCTTTTGTTGCTAGTCACATTGTTGGGGTAGGCTTTTGTTGCTAGTCACATTGTTGAGGTAGGCTTTTGTTGCTAGTCACATTGTTGGGGTAGGCTTTTGTTGCTAGTCACATTGTTGAGGTAGGTTTTTGTTTCTAGTCACATTGTTGAGGTAGGTTTTTGTTGCTAGTCACATTGTTGAGGTAGGCTTTTGTTGCTAGTCCCATTGTTGAAGTAGGCTTTTGTTGCTAGTCCCATTGTTGAGGTAGGCTTTTGTTGCTAGTCACATTGTTGAGGTAGGCTTTTGTTGCTACTCACATTGTTGAGGTAGGTTTTTGTTTCTAGTCACATTGTTGATGTAGGCTTTTGTTGCTAGTCACATTGTTGAGGTAGGCTTTTGTTGCTAGTCACATTGTTGAGGTAGGTTTTTGTTGCTAGTCCCATTGTTGGGGGTAGGCTTTTGTTGCTAGTCACATTGTTGAGGTAGGCTTTTGTTGCTAGTCACATTGTTGGGGTAGGCTTTTGTTGCTAGTCACATTGTTGAGGTAGGTTTTTGTTGCTAGTCACATTGTTGAGGTAGGCTTTTGTTGCTAGTCACATTGTTGAGGTAGGCTTTTGTTGCTAGTCACATTGTTGAGGTAGGCTTTCTTGACTAAAATGTCTGTCTATCCCAGGAATGATGGGTACCAGCACATCTCAGAAGCTGTGGGTGCAGACTCTAAAACAAGTCCTTCCAAAAAGGTGTGAGATGAAGTGTTTTATTTGTTGGTACATAGATCTTATATATGAATTTTTTAAATAGCGGTAAGAGATGATTTTTTTTTTTTCAAAAGTGTAAAAGACTTAGTATTTAAAAATTAATTTGCTGGATCAATTCTGAGCAATGCGCTTTTGAAGAAAAATGAAAAAATATAAACAAGTTTTAAAGAATTTTCTGTTCATCATCTCATCCTTATCAAGACAATGTTTGACCAGATTTGTAGTTGTGTTACAGAGACATATTTGATGAATTTTTATACTGCTGGTCTTCCTCATGTCATTGTGGACCTGCTGTAGAACAAGTTAGTGAAATCATGACCAAATCTGTATTTGGTTACACAGATATTATGACTCAAGTCAGAATAACAGGTTTAACTGCATGTTATTGAAATTGATAACAAGAAGCAATCTGCTGCCCATTTTATTAGTTATGGTCAAAACAGCTTGTTAGATTTGGCAGTCTACTGCCCATTGCATAAGTTGCAATCAAAGGTTTGTTAAATTTGGCCTGATTGTACTTTTCACAGGGACAAAAATGTTTATTCTTCATTATAGAAGTTTCTAAATACAAGCAGTTGATGTAAATGATGTTGATACATTACCATCATAACTTGGATGTTCTAAGAAAATTCAACTATGTATAATTTAATGTATGCATTAGGTATTATGTTTTGTGGTTCATTACATATCAAAGATAATTTATGTAAATAATGTATGATGATGAATAAGTTGTTTGTTAATGTAAATATAACATTTATATTTAGTAAAGGTGTTGCATGAATAAGCTAACGTGACTCACCCTAATTTTGCTCTGAGTGTTTGCTTTTTACATGAAATGATAAAATTTAATAAAGTGCTCAATTGAAATACTCCTTTGTTGCTTTTACATTTGTATTTTGTTGTTGGAAGGCTGTTCATGTAATTACATTTTCCTCAAAGCTGACAGCCAACAAATATTCTTAGGTGTTGTTTAAAAACATTAAAAAGCATACTCAATTATTTAACTCATAAGAGAACAATTTTAAAATGTTTTTTTTTCCTTAGATCATTGTTTAAAAACAAATGTGTTTTACCAACCTCACTTTCACATGGACAGCAACAAGACAGCTGTACAAAACAAAAATTATAAACATGGCACTAGGCACAATATATAGATCACATGCAACACCAGGTGGATCATCAAATTGTTTTAATTTTACTCATAAGTAACATACAGTACATTTCTTTAACAGACCAATAGTGTTAAAACTGTTCAATTTAGACAACAATGTTTAAAGCAAAGGGAAAATCAAAGTGAACAGCACTCATTAAATATAACATTACCATATAAAGATAGCTGTATTTGTGCTACTTATCGCTGCTATGTGACAGGTGAAAATTTTTACCCCTGAATACACATCATATATAGACTGTTCTGAATAAAACACTAATTGAAAAAACAAGAGAGGTGGAAAAACTAAATATAGTTTGTTTAATGCTTCCATTTTTTATAACTTAAAAAATGCGAGAATGAAAGAAGTAAAATTGCTGGAAAGGAAAGTAACACAAGATTTGTAACAATGGTCTTTAAAGTTAAAGTGCAGATCAAAATGTAAAATAAAGTCATCACTAAAAAAAACTACTTTTTCACTTTTTTCTAGCTTAAAAAGCATTCATACAAATAAAGTTATAAATATTATGTAAATGAATGTATCTACAATCACAGTAAAGAATTCTGCAGCTCCTGGAATTGATGAAGATGGCTTGTCTAGCTGAGGCTAAAGAACAAAACAGAAAACACAAAAAATCTTTCTTGACAAATTAATTGACAGTGTCTGGCGTGGGAGGGGACAACTAAAGGATGGCAAAACAAGTGTACAATTTTGTCCCATTCTGATCAATGTTTTATAAAACATCTCAAGTACACTTTTGTCCCATTCTGATCAATGTTTTATAAAACATCTCAAGTACAATTTTGTCCCATTCTGATCAATGTTTTATAAAACATCTCAAGTACAATTTTGTCCCATTCTGATCAATGTTTTATAAAACATCTCAAGTACAATTTTGTCCCATTCTGATCAATGTTTTATAAAACATCTCAAGTACAATTTTGTCCCATTCTGATCAATGTTTTATAAAACATCTCAAGTACAATTTTGTCCCATTCTGATCAATGTTTTATAAAACATCTCAAGTACAATTTTGTCCCATTCTCATTAGCTTAACCAATATTTTATAAAACATCTATGAGATACAGACATTACAGTTTACAGCCACTTGATCTAATTACTGTTCAATTTCATGTGTGGTACAAACTGGTATTTATACCATTATAAAAATATTGAATTTATTCAACTGAAAAAAAGGTTACTTATTCTAAACACAAAAAGCTAAAGAACAGAACTGAAAAGAAGTATGTCTAATATTTTAAAACAGTCATATATGTGTGCTTTACAAGAAAAACTCGCATTATGGAACATAAAAAGTTATAAATTCAGAACTGGTTAATACCATTTGTATCACTTTAAAACAAATACATTTAAATATTTGACATAAAAATATAAATTAAAACCCAAAGTAAAATATTTGTGATAATTTTCTTTAAATAAACAAACAAGATATACTATTGGGTTATTAAAATTTGAACTTAAGTGTTAACATTGTTACTGACAAAAAAAATAACTTGCTAATATGATTCTATCGCAATTAGAGGACTCCCTGACACTTATTATTTAAAATTATAAACAAACATTTTTATACTCTAAAGTTGATTTTTTAAGGTTTAAATTTTTAAAATCTATATACATTCTGAAGCACAGCCTAGACTACAACAAATCATTTGATTCTCACCACATTCACAGTAAAATGGTTCAGCTCTGTACGAGCTGATATAATCTTAGTTTTATATTAGCAAAAATGATCTCAGCTTATACTAGAAATAATTTGAGCCCATTAAAGGTGCATTAACTAACTTTAAATGCTAACATCTGAGGCAAGATTCTTCACAGGTTTTTTCTGGAATAAACTGTTCCTCATTACCTTCCCAGAAGGTGTAAAATTTCATCAAAATCCAACCTGAATTATTGCATGCTTACCTTGCTGGCTAAAATAGCACAGCCATTGTATCCCATGTTTGCAACACTTAAATAAAATTAAACATAACCTACAACATATTAGACTAAATTAAAAACCTCCACCACCTATATTGATTTGAGTCAAATAATTTCACCCCCCAAATCAGGGTGGGAATAGAGAGCTAATACTAGCACCCCAGTGATAATTGTTCAAACATATTTAGCAAAAAGAATTCCAGCATCAGTTTAAAAAAAACCAATTACTATTTATTAAATGTTAAAATTAGAAAGGAATCAACTTGGTGTAATGATATTCCCTTACTGACAAGGAAATTCACCCTGTTCAGTCAATCCTGTCTGTTGAGACCATCCACCACCAAACTTCAGTTAGTCTTGATAATAAAGTAATTACATATTGTAGCAGCAACATTTGTTAAAATAAATTTGTAATTAAGTATAAGCTTTTTTTTTTTGGTGGCAGAAATAGATATATAGATCTACAAGTTTAAACCAACAGAAAACCTGGAATAGAACTTCAAATTACTTCAGCAAAAATAGCAAAGTTATGTACACAACATACCCCTAGGAACTCAGCTTAAAAGGTCAAGATATATATATATATATTATATACAGTCATAAAGATCTTACTTGTACACTAAATTAACACTCAAGCAATCAATACATTAGCACGCACACACACTACCACACACACAACAGAGCCAATGAACATTGGAGCACATCATGATGTTGTGTCCACATTCAGTACACTACCACACACACAACCTCACACACAACCACACATACAACAGAGCCAATGAACATTGGAGCACATCACGATGTTGTGTCCACATTCAGTACACTACCACACACACAACCTCACACACAACCACACATACAACAGAGCCAATGAACATTGGAGCACATCACGATGTTGTGTCCACATGATGGTTTTTGTCCTGACTTGTTGCATGATGGATATAGTTGACTAGACGCTGACCAACTAAATATCTGAAATGTTAAGAAGATTTATAACTAAATAACTTTTTGACCAAAAGCTTATTACCACGTAATTTCTAAGTCACGTTACTTTTTTAAATAGCAAGGTTATAACAATATTTTTAGAAAATTAAAATATTAAATTCAGGTCCTTACTTGTCATCTTTAATATGATTATAAAGTCTGCGGAACTGGCGAATTTGAAACATTAACATAGCAGTGCATACAATCATGCTGAGGACAAATGGGTAGATTCTTCGTACAACAAGTGTCTGGGTTTCAAAACTTACACCTGCAAAACCAGAAGAATCAAGTTTTTTACAGTAAAACTCATTTCAAACAATATACTCATTTGTTTTCTTGTCTGCTTGAGGCAGAAAAAAAGGGGGTAGTTATATAATTTTTCAGGTTTTTAACAATATAAAAACACTTACCCAAAGCAGGAACAATGCTGTAAGCAATGACATAAGGAACAGCTAAAGCCAAGCCCAAGCAGGTGGATACAGGCAGGCAGATTTCCACCATGATGAACCTCATGTTTAAGTTCCTCATACCATCATTGTATACCTGAAACCAATGATAATACTGTCAGTGATTAGATGGCTAGCTACTTGCATGGGTCCATACTGTCTTGATTTCTCCATGTAACACCACAGTACTTGCAGCCTAGGTTTCCATCTCCTGTACCACCATGCTCAGTGTTTTATTTGAAGCTACCAAGTTACATTTGTAGAAAAAGGCTTCAATTCAATGCCATTTTTACTATAACCCATCCATTTGTAATATCTGTCACAGAGATCAACCCTATTGGATCATAAGCTCACAAATAACACACACATCAGACAACTGTTGGGAATTGAGCTGTTATGACTACCTGAACACTGTATGCTGAGATAGATAACACACAAGTAGTAGATTTCTTAAGGTCCATTAACAACTGATCTAACAACCACACAAAGAAACAACAAATATTCACCCTTTCTATTGCCCGCTTCAGCCACCACTGTGGGCCCATCATAACAACTGCTGTTAGAATTTTCATGTGAAGTACCCCTAAAGCCCAGTCCTGAAGAGAGTAAAAAACAAATGTAATGGATAAAAATAACATTATTTTTGTATTTGAAATGTATATTTCATATCATGGCAACTGTAAGCTATTTTATGAGTTATCATGTGTTTAAAAATGTATTAAGAAAATGTTTGGGTTCATATCCTAGGTAGGGCAATGTAGTACCTAGGATCAACATGTTTTCCCTGCTGGAATGGCTAGTATGGGGAGCTTATACTAGCAAAAGAAAAGCTTTCATTAATCTTGCTGATGTGTTAATAAGTATTCTATATTAGTAATAAAAAATGCTTAATATTATCATTTTGCATTTTTATTAAGGTTTTTAAAGTTTTAAAACAGTTGAAAATATATTTCTGTAGTTACCTGCCAAGGGAAAAAGATGGGTGACTGATCTAAAGGTACTCTCATAGGAGCTACAATGATAACATCAAAGAGCAATCCCAGCAACAAAGGAATGATGACTAACAGGACCACAGCCATCATCAGAGATTTGATCATCTGGGGAAACATTGTAAGGCCTGATTCAACAAACATAATAGATGAGATTTCTCTTATTGTACTTAATTTGCTTTTAATAGCAGTGCATGGTATATTATAAGATCAATTAAAGAAACAAGAATGTTTGAAAAGACTCATACAGCACAGTGAGTGGGATAAGGATGACTCATACAGCACAGTGAGTGGGATAAGGATGACTCATACAGCACAGTGAGTGGGATAAGGATGACTCATACAGCACAGTGAGTGGGATAAGGATGACTCATACAGCACAGTGAGTGGGATAAGGATGACTCATACAGCACAGTGAGTGGGATAAGGATGACTCATACAGCACAGTGAGTGGGATAAGGATGACTCATACAGCACAGTGAGTGGGATAAGGATGACTCATACAGCACAGTGAGTGGGATAAAGATGACTCATACAGCAGAGTGAGTGGGATAAGGATGACTCATACAGCACAGTGAGTGGGATAAGGATGACTCATACAGCACAGTGAGTGGGATAAGGATGACTCATACAGCACAGTGAGTGGGATAAGGATGACTCATAGAGCACAGTGAGTGGGATAAGGATGACTCATACAGCAGAGTGAGTGGGATAAGGATGACTCATACAGCAGAGTGAGTGGGATAAGGATGACTCATACAGCACAGTGAGTGGGATAAGGATGACTCATACAACACAGTGAGTAGGATAAGGATGACTCATACAGCACAGTGAGTGGGATAAGGATGACTCATACAACACAGTGAGTGGGATAAGGATGACTCATACAGCACAGTGAGTGGGATAAGGATGACTCATACAGCACAGTGAGTGGGATAAGGATGACTCATACAACAGAGTGAGTGGGATAAGGATGACTCATACAACACAGTGAGTGGGATAAGGATGACTCATACAGCAGAGTGAGTGGGATAAGGATGACTCATACAGCAGAGTGAGTGGGATAACACTGTACATAGACTAACCAGCAGCCCCCAGAGTTTGAGCTTGGCCTTGATGATGGTCCAGCCCTGTAGGTACCAGCCAGCTATGACAGTGGACACCCTCAGACACAGCCAGCAAATGTACAGACCACAGCCAGCGGTGTAGAGCTCATGGATCTTTGTGTCTCCCACCCACAGCCACATCAGCTGTCTGCCTAGAAACACTGGTAGAGAGGAGCATACACTCAGTCACATGACTTCTTTTACTGTTGAACTAGCACATGATTTCTTAAATTTATAATTAGAAATCCACTAGAAGCAAATGATGGAGACTAAATGGTTTGTACCTGGTAACACTAAAGAAATGGTGCTGGCAAAGAAGAAGGTCAGACACATTAAAAACACAAGAGCTATTATCTGAAACAAAAAGACATTGTCAATGTTAGCATTTAGGTAGTCATACTTGGTTTGTTTATCAACAGGCAGGACAGAGGGTAACATAGAAACTTACCCTTGCTGGGAAAAATGATGGCCTTTTGTAAGGTTGAAAACCAGTGGGGCCACCACCTTGTAACATGGCCTGGTGAGCGGCCCCGAGTCCATCTCCTATATCTTGAGCTGCAGGCGGAGGGTTATTTAGTCTTGGATCAGCTTCATTATGTGGCTCATTACTGTCTACAATACTGGCAGAATCCTAGATAGAAAAATACAGTTGCTCTTAGAAACCAGTACACTTGATCTTAGTAACTGGAAAACAACAATTACAAGCTAGCTTTAGAGCACTTTACTCACCATCCCACCTGATGATATAAGAAATGTGTACTCACCACCACATCCAATGATATAAGATCTCTGTACTCACCACCCCATCCAATGATATAAGAACTGTGTACTCACCACCCCATCCAATGATATAAGAACTGTGTACTCACCACCCCATCCAATGATATAAGAACTGTGTACTCACCACCCCATCCAATGATATAAGATCCCTGTACTCACCACCCCATCTAATGATAAAAGATCCCCGTACTCACCACCCCATCCAATGGTATAAGATCTGTGTACTCACCACCCCATCCAATGATATAAGATCCCTGTACTCACCACCCCATCCAATGACACATCCCCAATGAGATAAGATCTCAGATCCAGCAACCATGCCATGGCCTTAGACCAGCCCTCCACCAACTTTTTCAACATGGCCCTTGTGTGGCCAGCTTCTAGTAGTGATGGTAAAACAACTTGCAACAACAGCAGTTCCAATGAGAGTTCACTGACCGGTGCCTCGCTAATGAAATGAAAAAATTTTGAAAGGTAAGAACAAAATTTTAACTGCTTTTATTCACAATGTACATCAATGCCTATAAATATATTTTTCAATTGTTAAAATTTCTTCTTTCTATACAAAATGTATAGAAAGGGAAAAGATACCTGGAAACAACAACTCTGTATGGTAAAAAGCCTGGGAAAATCAGTCGTATCACTTTGATGGGCAGCCACAACATTAAAAGTACAGCACTTCCAAAAATTACCTAAAGAAATATGTAGCAAGGGATTAGTACTAAATTTTGCTAGAATTATATAAGCTTACTTAGTTTTCATTATATAAAAAGATTTTGTAGCTTTATAGATAATCATAAGCTAAAACTTACCACAGAGGCAATGAAACGCCTGAAGTGTCTAAAAACACATAAGTGTATCATCTGATGAGAAACAATTTTAACATTGTAAAATTAGTTGAATAATAAAAATGATGAGTCAAAATAAAAATAAAAATGTATTATATTATATAAGTGTTGTAAAATAGAAGTTATTACCTCCTGGATTGGATTAAATTCTGGGTCATTCAGATTGCGAAGAAACCATAAGACTCCAGGGCGCAAGACTTCTCGTGTCAACAAAATGAAGGAAGCAAAGTAGAAGACATAGACCATCCCCACCAGCCAATGGATGAACATTGAGGTCCCAGGGGAGGAGAGAAAGCTGGACTCCCTGTCTTTGAGTGTGGCATCAAACATTGACTGTCAGAGATATAAAACACATGGCTTTAGTAGATGTCAAGTCAGCTGTAAACAACGTCTGAGGGTGTTAAGCAGATGTCAAGTCAGCTGTAAAACAACAAGTCCAAGGCAAACAACAAAACCATCATGAAGTAGACTCATACATACCAGTGAGCAAATATCCAGCCACCATCCACAAACAAGAGGGAACACGCCAATCTCCATGACAACCAACAGCTTCACTTTGACAACAACATAGCAGAGGCCAAAGATTTTCTGAGCTCTGAAAGATGAAAACAAAACATTGTAGTATGATAGACTTCAATAGGACCTGTTATGGAACAACGGGAGCAAGTGATGTGGGCACCTACCTTCTAGCTCTTGTCAGGGAGCACAAGGTATAAATTACAAGCAGGGAAACTGCAATGATAAGGTAGCCAGTTAATGTTGTCACCAGGCCTTCAAAGTGAGATGCAACCACCTAAAAAAATTATGTGTTCACATTTTCAACACTGCAATAGTACAATCAATTAGATAATAGGAGGCAGAGTGTCAATTTCTACATACCATTTCGTCCAGTTTAGCTCCAACTAACACAAAGTGACCAATATGAAATGGACAGAATGCTGAAAAATATAATATAAAGAATTGTAAAAAAAAATATTAAAATATTCAGTTTGAAAATTTAACAAAATTACTGTAGCTATTAGATACATAATTGACATGTGAAATGTACATACCAAAAACCAAAATGTAACAGAATTAATGTAGCCATTAAATGCATAATTAACAGGTGAAATGTACATACCAAAAACCAAAATGAACAGAGTATTCAATGAAACCACCCAGAAAACATGTTCCTGTAAAATAAAAAATTTGATTTCTACAAATAAAACAGCACCATAGTTTTCTTAAATAAAATATGCTAAAGTTTTATCATAAAATTTCTAAATATGGAGGTAATTAACTTTTTTACCTCTATTCCCTTTAGACATAGTAAATGTGCTAAAAGCATTAAGTAATCACAATGAATATTGTCTTTTGAAATAGAAAAGTTTTGTAATTTAAAAAAGCAAAAGTAGGTTTAATTTCTCTTTTAATATACACATGAAGCCTATTCCTGCTGCAATAATGAAATAGCTATATATTTTTTAGTATTCCTGTTTTATTCAAAGGAAACTTATGCAACTGGGCACAGGAATCTAAAATGGCTATAATAACAATAACATTAAAGAGATAAGGCAAAACCCACCAGGAATACAAGTGATCCATCAAGTCCAAGTAACTGAAACAAAATAATTTTCAAATGTAAAATAACTCTTCATTCATTTAAGGTTATGTTTAATTTTACCTTTTTTCTTTAATAAACACAGATAAGCATAGTAAATAAAATATAGTGAGTTGTTTTCATAAAATATAAAAAATAGGGTCATGTTCTCATACACAGAACTAATAGTTAACCACTAATGCGACCATGTACTCACTCTCTCCCAAGTTAATTCCTCTGCTGCCCTGTCCCACTCTATACATATGTAGCACTAATAGTTAACCACTAATGCGACCATGTACTCACTCTCTCCCAAGTTAATTCCTCTGCTGCCCTGTCCCACTCTATAGGGTTCCAATTGTTGTCATCTGTAACAAAAACAGTTGCTTGAAATTTGAAGATTTTGTCTGGTTTTAAAAACAACATACAATTGGCACCATAAACTTTAAACCCACCTTGTGCAGCAACATTGTTGGCATTGTTTCCATCATCTATCACTTCCTCTATGGCTTCTCTAGCACCTTCATTCTCTGCCACTGCATGTTCAACAACTTCCTGGGGTGCATTTTGATTGGCCGCAACATTCCCATCCAGTCCCCCAACTAACCCTCCAATTCTGTTTAAATTGTTCACTCCAGCTCCACCTAAGCCAACGTTCTACAAAACAATACAAACCCATACAATTCTTGGTTTTAAACAACTGCTAGTTTTTATAACTTTGTAATCAAATGAAATTCCATCAAGCAACCAAAATAACAATGATGATTAGTTTCTTACTCTTTGTCCATTATTGACATGACCAAGCTGCTCAAACCACTCAGGCCCACCACCATGTAGAATTTGTTCTCTTAGCCAGACCAAGCTGATGAAAGCACACAAGGTGCAGGTGACAACCAGACATCCCTGGAAGCAGTCACTTGCCAGATTCTCTCTGTAGCACATTCAGATAACTTTACTTAGACATCATCAAATACAATGGAAACATCAGCTCACAAAATAGCACAGAAAATCCAATCGTTACATTTTTTTATTTATTACATTGTGTTACTCACGTTGATAACATATCCAAAGGTAGGGTCAGGAGAGAACTCACAGAGCCAGTAAAAAGACAACGATAAATACGGCCTAACAAAGAATAAAATCATAGGAAAATTACAGCAAATACAAAAATAAAATTAAAAAATTGACAAAACAGCCTTTAATAATAATAATAAATAAATATCTATTAAAACCGTATTAAAAACGACAGAAGATATTTTAAATTTCAAAAAGCACTTTTTTAAAGATCTACTGCAATTATATGAGCTGGATAAAATGTTTAACACTTACAAGCTGTCAATGGTACAACACCCAGCCAAGCAAAAGCTACCAGTGTGTAGTGAAACCAGTAGCGCACAGCTCGGGCCATGCTTGTTACTAGCCCACTGACAATATCCTTGATAGGCAGGCGGTTCGGCATATCAGGTGAGTAAACTGAAAAAGTGTATCAATGAAAATATTTAGACTCAAGCTGAGATGATCAGATGATTGAACCAGAAGAGATGTGGAGACTTACTGGGAGTAAATGAAAACCTGTGTTTGCAGAGCTCACAATATTCTTTACGGCTGTACTTAAGCCACTGCACCAAACTGTAATGATTCATAGGTTAATTAAACATAGTTGTTTCATACAAAAACTCAGATGTAACTTTTTATTTACTCTCTTGTGATGGAAAAAAATTGATAGTTTATGTTTTTTTAATTAAATTATAGTAATAACTGTAGGTATGTCTAAGCAAAGGACAAGTAATCAAAATCCACATAGTAATTCAATGGTTATGTTACTGACCAATCCTGATGCACATATTTTATGCTTCCTGTACAAACACAAGGGTAGTAAAGTGGTTTATCTGATGTTCCTTCACAGCGGCATACTCGACAGATGTCTGTGTGAGGAAAAATATATATACTTCCACCAAGTTTCAAGTTAAATTAGAAAATGTGTACGAAAATGTGTATGGTAATAAATAATGCAAGTCAGAAAAATGTTAAAGTCCCCAGCCTACTGATCTTACACTAAAAAAAAAACTTTGCCTTTACACTAAAGAAATCTACTTCACTCTACAGCAAAAGATTTTAGACAGGGTTATGTTAAAAATTTTAAACTTTATTTATAGCTAACATTTGATAAGGCTTAATAGTAATATAGTTTGATGTCTATTCAGCCCATGTCAATAAGTTTTATAGTTTTTGTGTTATAATTTTTTTTTATATATTTAGATCTAGTTTACTGTATAGGCCCTCATGTCAAGTCATTTGTAACTTTGTCCATAATATCTTACCTAGAACTAGACTAGTACTAAGAGTAGTTTAGCTTAGTTAAATATATTATCTAGGTAAACTAGATCTAGATCAGGGGTCTCCAAACTACGGCCCGCGGGCCGGATGCGGCCCACGAAGTCCTCTCATCCGGCCCGCGGAGATCTTTTTGTCCAAGGAAAAATTGTTTGTCAGTGATTGCTGAGGAACTTTGCCCAGAAATATCAAAGACATGCCTGGAAGAAACTGGCCCCCGAACTGAAATTTGATAGCCAATGCGGCCCTCGGACTGAAAAGTTTGGAGACCCCTGATCTAGATTAAACAAGTGTGAAGAGCTATTTTAAGTACTTTTACAATGAGACTTTACTTTTTTAGATTAATAACTAGAATGTAGTAATTACAACATGCCCAAACCAAACTGAATTGACTCTGTCCAGAGTATAACTCAAAATCAATATAAATAAAACAAAAGTCATCAGAATCAATAACAACCAGTGAGGAACTGGAACTGCGCATACAGCTAAAACTTTTAGTAAAAGGAGAAGAAATACAAGTGACAAATTCAAGTATCTGGGAAGTGTGATCAACAAAGATGGAGAGTAGTCAAGGACTAATAAAGCAGGGTTGCTTTATCATTCAAGACTTGGCGGGTTACTAAGTCAAATATCAATAGGCTACAGTTGTTCACAAACAGATGTTTACGATTAATCCTTAAGAAACAATGACCAGACAAAACGTTAAATAAAAACATGTGGCAAAGCACAAAGCAAAAGCTTATTGACAATTGATAGGAATGTCGAAGCCTGTAAATGGGGATGAATCAGGCATGCCCTCCTAGGAAGAGGGCAACATCGCAATGCAAGCGATAGACTGAAACACTCAGGGCAAAAGAATAGTTTAATTAATTAGTTAGCCGACCAAAGCAATTTCTGCATAAGGACAGTGGAATGACATCAAGTGATCAAGGGCTGTTGTCCAAAACAGTCCAGTCCAGCATCAAGCAGGAGCTTCAATACTCAATAGATCTATATCAAAGTTCAAAAAACAAAAAGGAATTGATTCTTGAATAAGAAGTGGATATTTATTGGCTGAATGAAAAAATAGTGAATACTCAGAATATAGAATAGACACCAAACTGTGTTACTAATAATATAATATAACTACTTATATCAACTGTTAGCTCTAAATCAATTATTTTTTTAACATAAACACGTCTTTGAAACCATCTGTTGTGGTGTAGATTTAGACTAGATTTCTAGATCTATTTTATTAAAAAATGTAAATAACTAGATCTAGATTAGGCCTAAACAACACAAAAACTGAAAAACAAGAGGAGATAAATCAAGCTTCACCTTCTTGAGTCGGAGAAGTGAATGTTTAAATGAAGTATGAATGACAGACAGTATTTATACACGTTTTACCCTAATAGACCAGTTTGAAATTTGATTTTCTATACTAAGATAAAAATCAATGCAGAGGAGAATCGATAAATTAAATACATACCAAGTTGCCCATCTTCTTCCGAATCGTCCATTTTGGTTTTAAAAATAGCAACAAGGCAAACCTCTATTTCAGTCTGAAGAATACGCTAATGTCGCAAAAACTTAAAATTATTGGTGCAGATCTAGATCTAGTAAATAAGAAATTAATATTGTAAAATATAAACTGTTTTGTTTAAAACTCACGTTATTTGTTATTATAGTCCTACTTCTTCAAATAATTAATAGTATTATTTTTTTACTACAAGATCTGAAAATATGCGACATTAAAAAAGGAAACAAGAAACAAGTTTGTTGCTTCCGTTGCTGCTATAAACAAAAATATAAATTTTAATTAAAAGTCAGTTTTAATTTAATGTAGTTAATAACGTCACCTCAATGTGTTGTGTGTTGACAAAGAAATAATGTTGTTAACCGATGCTATTGACTTAATGTTCAACCATTTTCAAATGGAAATTAGCAAAAAATTATATTATAATATTGAAAGTCAGTCATAGATCTATATTAATACTTTCTATATTCTATTAAATTGGAAATTTGTGTAATGTCACAGTGTAAGTGTAATCTATCGGTTTAAGTACGTAAAATAAAATCGCCCGCGAATAGTAATGTGAAAAACAAGTGACTCCTTAAATTTTAATAATTATTTCACATTTTGAGGAGGGTTTATGGTTTGAAAAATACAAAAAATGTTTCCTTGTTTCATTTATCATTTTATGTAACTGTTTTTCCCACGTTTTCTTTAACTTGCTTTCGTCTCTGTTTGTCTTTCCAATCAAATCTTGCGATCGAAATTTCTGGCACTTCCCAGTTAGCTAGCGCGTTGAAATTTTCAGGGAAGCTTTGTTTTGGATGACATTAGAATATTCAATTGTTATTATTACTAAATTGATCCATGGAAACATTTTATTGAGCATCTTAGACCGCTATATAATCTATTTATATAATTCTCCTCTGCGAGCCATTAGAAAACAAGCTGCAAGCGCCTCCTTACAGTCCCCTCTCTTTCTCTCTATCACTATCACTACCACCCTACCCCACCCCCACATGGTCTGCTGAGCTGTGGTCACGTTAATGTTTACAAACCGTACAGCCAGGTTTAGTGACGGCTATTAGGGGCAGATAATTTAGTTTGAACTGACTTTAAACTTACATGAGGTAACTAAGAGGAGGCTGCTTTCACGGGGGGGGGGTGTAGGGTTGGGGTTAGGGGAAAGGAGGGGGATTAGTGTTTTAAAGCAAATATTTTCAGTGGCAGTATTGGTACTGTCGAATTCACAAATTATGAATTACTGAAAAGTAGAAAATAAATCAACTAAATAGTGGCGTATGATACGCTCGTTGTAGTAAAAACGTGGGGAAAAAGGGACATAACCCAGTAACTGTAATTTGTGTACAAACAACCATAACAACTGGTGGCCAGTATAGGGGAGACGATATGGTCGAGTGGTTGGGCACACGATTGCTATCCCACTCGACACGGGTTCAAATCTATGTGTTCTAGTCAGTAACGTATTCACACAACGAGTTGTCTTTTTACGAGTTGTCTTTTTACGAGTTGTCTTCGTTTACCCAAAAAAAAGTGAAAAGATAAAATCGATAGCAAGATTTTAATGCAAACAAACAGACAAAGACTAAAAAGTAGAAAATAACAATCATTAAAAAAGTTTTAAAAAACCCACGTTTTCTGATTGAACTAAAAAGTAGAAAATAAATGCTATACATCACAATAATGCAAGCGATCACTCTACTATAAGCGATCAAAAACGTGGGGCGCCGTGATTTTCTTACAGTTTCTAATACTGTTGACTCTCTACAAGCTCCCTAATAAAAGTCAATAGTATTATCTAATCAATAGTAATATAACTTTTACTTCGGCGCCCCACGTTTTTCATTGCTTATAGTAGAGTGATCGCTTGCATTATTGTGATGTATAGCATTTATTTTCTACTTTTTAGTTCAATCAGAAAACGTGGGTTTTTTAAAACCTTTTTAATGATTATTATTAAACAATTGAATTAAAACTTTTCAGTAATAAATGAAGACTAGTAATGTTTTCATCAGATGCAACCATGCACATTTACTATAGCAGCCATCTTGTTTAAGTTTTATTTTGTTAAACTTATAGTGGGACATTCAGGGGAAGCTACTCTATTTTGGTTTATTATTCAGTTATCTATAATATTTGACACAAATATTTTACAGTATACTTCTATTAAAGCCTTGACAATGAGGTAACTTTTTTGTACATTACTAGGAGCGGCCGATTTTACGTACCTAAAGTGATAGATTACCGAAATTTGTATTCTAATTGACAGTAATTGTTCAAATTCAATACTTCGACTGGTGTCACACACTCATCATACTGCTACATAAACATATAACACAATATATAATAAACCTGTAAACATAATCTTAATGGTATAGAGAGCCTATCCTGCCAACCCAATTCCTCCTTTTTAATTTAGTACAAAATTCCTATTTAGTATTTACTGCAATTTGCAATACTGATGAAACACCCCCCCCCCATACATTCTTACTTTTAGGTTTTAGAAGGAGAATATTCAATACTTATCTGATGCCTTGGTGATCAAGACAATTACAATGCCAGCTGCAGCTATTAAGTCTGAAAACTCCATTGTGCATGAGAAATGGGATAACGAAGATTTAGCCAAAGTTAGTGAAAAAAAATTAATCTTAAATTAGTGATTAGTAGGCAAGTATTCACTTATTCATATTGATAGAAAATTTAATAATAGACAACCTTAGAGTTAGGTTCAAGATTCAGGATCAGGGCTAAAAAAATATTGAATGTTATTAGTCATCATACATTCTAAATTAAGAGAGGCTAGTGATCTTCTTACAGGTCTCACTTGTATTTATTAGTTTAATGATCAAGGCATTCATAGCATTACCTATAATGATAATTTTAATTTAATGATCAGGATTAAATTCTAAATTAGGTTGATGATTACTGGTGTGATATTTTTTTTTTTTATAACACAATGTCAGTATATCTATCTGTGTATGATGTGTGTATTCTGATAGGTTCAGTTTTGTGGGTTGTATTCAAGTAAGGAAACAAATCGTTGTTTACCTCCTTATAATGACTTCTGTATGACTGAGATTTCACTTTCTTGTCATAATTTGAACCATAAATTGGTTTTATTATCTGGTTAAATTATGACAAAACAAGATTTTTATTTAATTTACCTTTAGCAGTTCCTCCATAATCAAGATGCTTAAATCTCCAGATATAACCTACAGGATTATTGTTTATGCTTTCAGCAATATTAGATAAAGAAATTGTAGGTCTATCAAATTTTATTTTATTTGTAACTATCTACCTAGAAAGACTTGTCTCTAAACTGTTTAAATCACAAGCCTACCATTCCCACTGGGGTTTTTCTTCAGTTAAAATACAATCTGAGTTCTCTTACTAAAAAACATTTGTTTTGTTTATACTTCTAAAAGTTGTGCACAGCTTATGGATAAAATTTCAAGTAACAAACCACAATTTGTTTTTCTATAGGTGCGAATCAAAGTTCTTAAAGACCACACTGATAGTGTCACCAGCTGTCAATATATTCAAGAGTCTCAGAAAGCTGCCAGTGCATCAACTGACTGCAGTGTCAAGCTTTGGAATCTGAAGACTGGTGAATGCATCAAAACATATGAAGACTTACACACCGTTAATATATCTCAAACTCATTTTATGTTAGATGGATCAAAGTAAAGTTTTTCATATTATTTTACATTGTTCTTATCTAAATAGAAAATATTTTTGCTGTTAATGTCTTTTCTGGGTTTTGTTTAATCACTTTCATCATTGAACAACTTTTGAGTTTGCTCTTGGTCTTAACATGCTGCTGATGCACAACTTATGACATTTCTTAACAGTCAAGAAAAAAGAGAGAAAAAATGCCTCTTTTATAAACCAACATGTTCTCACAGTATCACACACCATCAGTTTATCTTATGTTAATGGGCAACATAGAAAAAATAAATTAAATGTAGTAGCCTATATGACAAAGCAGAATTAGTAGCCATTGTTAATTTTAATTAAATAACAAAATATAATAATTCATGTAGGTAGCTTTTGTTTTCCCAGATCAATTTTTCTAATGATTTTATAGATTTTTAACTTGTGGTTGGGACAAAGCTTTAAAGTTTTCTGATGCTGAAACTGGGAAATGTTTAGTAAGTAGTTGCAGCATAAAATTAATAAATTCTAATTACCATTTACTTAGTGAGGATTATGTGGGGTTTTTTAAAATCTCTTTTGGTTTACCCTATGTGATAAACACAGTATTCTAGTTCTGATCTATGAAAGTAAAGCTGATGACATAATTATTTAAAATAAATTAAAAATTTTCCATTTGTCTTTTCCAGCTGCAAAAATGTCATGAAGATTTCCTGACCTGTTGTCAACTATCCCATGATGGGAAATTAATGGCAGTTGGATCAGATATGTCATGTAGCTTAAAAATTTATGATGTGGATAGTGGTGCACTCATTCATAATTTAGAAAGTAGGCAGTTCTTTGTACATTTTATTTTATATTAATTCATTAAATATTTTAGCAACTTCTATAATCAAATGTTCTACTACAAGGAGGGTGGGTTTTAAAAAGAATGTTGAATAATGTATCTCACATACAGATGTATGGTGCAAGAAATAAATACTTGTGTTTTCTAAGTGTATAAAAACAAATCATAAAAAGTCTTATTGTTAACTGCATTGTCTAATTATTCTAGAAGCTAAATGATGGCCTCTTTCTTGTTGCAGCTGTAGTTAAAAGAAACAAATCCCATTTCAACCAACCCCCTCCCAATATTATATAGCATCTTTAGCACTCTCCTCCTTGCCCTTATCTAGAGCAGAATAAAAAGTTGAATGCTACAATTTTTCTGTTTAGAACTGTTTAAAACATCTGTTACTATAAACAAAATGATTATTGAACATACAATGCTGCTGTACACCTACATTTACTCTGATCCAATGCAATTCTGATATTTTACCCTCAGATTTCCACAAGAGCAGTATAACAAGTGTCAAGTTTGCCCCTGATGATGATAAAATAATAACAACATCCTCCGACAGAACTGCAAAGTTTTATGATTTATTGACAGGAACAACAACATTAAACCTTGAGTACCATACATTTGATCATTACATTTATACTGATTAAATACACTAGATCCACTTTTTCATTATGAATACTTTCATTTTGTTTTGTCCAGAGGCCATACAAATATAGTCTCAAGCTGTGACATCAGTCATGATGAGAGAAACTTTGCTACTGCATCATGGGATAAAACTATTTTACTTTGGGATGTAGCCACTGGCATGTATAGGTTAGTATTACCAGCAGTGTTTGGACACCTAGGAAAGCTCGCTCTGCCTATTTGGTTTCTTATAGTTAAACATTCCCCTGACATATAGAGTCAATGCTGGAGCACCAGAGAAAAAGTTAACATGTGTCCAAAGATTTTCAAAACCCAAGCAAACTCAAATTTTTTTGTTAGTGGAAATCAGTTTGTGTTAAGTCAGCTTTTGTGTAAAACAATAGTCAGCAGGAACAAAACCATGTTTTAATAACTATGTATGCAGTTATAAATCAGCATCAATTTAAAAGTTTTTTTGTTAGATCAAAAGGACTAATTTCGTATGTATTTAAAACTGTTTTCCATTAGATCAAAAGGACCAACAATGTTGAAAGGTGGCCATGATGGTTCAGTGAGTTGCTGTCAGTTTAGTTCTGATGGTTAGTAAAACCTTACCTATGAAATTCACAATTCTATTTTTCTACTATTATATATTACCCAATATAGTGTTTGCTTTGTTGTTTATTAAAATTTTTTGAATGTACACATTTTTTTCAAACCCTGCTTTTTATTAAAATCTTTAATGTAAATGTTAACTCCTAATGCAACAGATTCTCTGTCTTTTTAAAGTAAATTTTAATAGTATTCACTATTTTTAGTAATTATATTAATGTTATGGTTAAATATATTACTTGAATTATTTTGATGTTCATTTGGTGTGTTCTTAGATCTAACTGAAGAATAAGATATGGTAAACACCATACAACGGATTGTGAAGAGATTTTTATCACGCACTTAATTAAATAGTATCCCTGTTTTTACCCCCAAACAATTCATACAAGAATGATGTATTTTTAGTATCGTTTATTTTGTTGGCACATTTAAATATGAGTGTATTTCCTGACTTGTTTTGGCAGGACTTCTGCTGGTAACTGGTTCATACGACATGAACATTGTTGTCTGGGATCTAGAAAATAGTGTGCAAAAACTCAAACTCCAGGTAGCAGCTTTCTTACTGCTCAAATTTCTTTAAAATTGAATTGTTGCTTAGATAAGATTTATAAGTTTGCTTCAATAGCATTAGTATTAACCTATTAAGTGTTCTATTTTTTCATCAAGTGGAAGAATTTTTATTTTAGGGACATTCTGACTGGGTAAATGATGTCTGCTTCAGTGAGGACCAGAAATGGTTGTTGTCATGTTCCAGGGTAACTTTAAATCTTTTATTTTATTTGAAAAGGCAGTAATGCTCTTTGATGACATTATGTATCACCTCAATCAAAAGGCCCGAACATTAGGATAGTGTATCTACCTCATGTTATGTCTGCATATTTTAACACCACAATTTTTTTTACAATAGTTCTAAATCAACTGTTTCAGGACACAACACTAAGACTATGGAACATAGAAGAATCAGACCAAATACCGATGGTCATGGAGAACAAGAAGACAGTCAACATCAAAGTGGCTAAGGTAAAGTTAGTTTAAGTTGCTCAAAAATGTGTACAGGTTTTAATTTAAAAACATTTCACAACAAATGTGTGATTTTGTTAATTTAAATGTTTGATATTTCCAGTGCTCAAAATGTGGTAAACCATTTTCCTTGTCTCAACTTGAAAGTTTTCAAGATGTGACCAGATGTGTTTTTTGTCGACTTGCCAAACCTGATAAGTCATGGCTTGGCTTTAGTGATTCTAGCAACACGAGTTCTTGATGACAATACAAATGGAAGAAGTGAACTATTGAAATATGGGTTACTGCTCTTATCTCACAGGATTTTGAAGTATAAAACCTTAAAATTTACAATGCTTTTAGTTTGTTTTTTATAGTTTTTCACAGGGTAAACTACTTAAACCAGAGCACAGTTTACTGCTCCCACATAAACAAAATTTGCAAATTACTGAATAATACTGTGATAAATTAAAAACATTTTATTTCTGCTCCTGTAATTCTTCAATACAATTTACAGTAAAATGGTACATTAATTACGGAGCTAGTTTCCTCTAATATAATTTCATTAATGCAATACAACAACTATACCATGCTAAATATACCAATTTTCCAAATACATTAATAAGCTTAATAGTTGTGACCAGTATATAAATACTACAATGTCAATGATGATGAACTTTATAAGACTTATAGCCAAAATTTAGGATGTACAGTAAAATATTCTCTAGCTTAGTCCGTTTTAAAAAAATGTAAAGTTTCTGAAAATACAACTATAAACTTTATATTAAAAGTACTCTGACTACAAAACTGATAAGGTGTCACTGAAATTTAAAAATATGTAAACAAGAAGACTGCAAGTATTTTGTTATGTCAAAAAATATAAGGCATCAAAAGGCACTTGATATGAAAGACATGCAAAATAAGATCCCTACTACAGAACAATACATGTTTTCAAAAAAACATGAGTTGCTTCTAAATTTTTTATATACCAACAATGGTAACTCCAACAAGAAAAATGTTATATGATGCTATAAATATGATACACAAAATATATACACCTAATATACACAGTGACACAAGTCATGCAACACAACATTACATAATTTACCACAATCTTGTCACTAGAGAGATAAGCCCATGTGACTGACTTCAGTAGTTTCAGCCTTCTTTTAATCTGTCCCAGTAACATATGATGTAAAATAATTACCAATGGCTAGCTAAATCATAATCCACAATGCCAGCAACTACTCTATTCAGTTATGTACATTTTAAAGCAAATATTTCACTCAATATCAGGATTAAATATAAGGTGAAGCATGACAAAGTAGTGGAGAAGTGGTTCAAGTTGAAAGAAATGTGTAAATTAAAAATACAGCAACTAATGGTAGGATGATGTGGCTTGTGGTTTTGATGGTTTCAGAGCATCTGCATTCCAGGTCCTTAAGTTGGCTAAAGTGCGGTTGATTTTATTGCACCAAACAATTCGTTCTTCTTTAGAGTCAGCAGATATCTGGTGTCTGAAACAAGCAGAGCATGTGTTTACTGTCAAGTTTTTTCCTTCACACAGCTGATGTTTACAGTGAAAAGAGACAAACTTAAAAAAACCCAGCCTACCTGACAGTGGTTGTGGAGTTATAGGTTTTAGTCACTAGAGTGTCATGTTCACCTTTCAGGGGCTGTCTTACAGTCACCATCTCAAAGGTGTTGGGTCTGGCACAAATATCTCGAGGCACCAGACCAACCTTTTCTGTGATGCACCTCTTCAAATCTATTATGGCCATGGGATCCTTAAAAATACAATCCAATCCCCAATAAGTTAGTGTGTGAACCAACAGTAGCAGAAAGCAATGTGTGTGAACAAACAGCAGTAGGTGTAAAGAAAAAAGTGTGCAGAAGATTACCTTGCGAGTTTCATCATCAGGGTATTTCCAAACACAAAGTTTGTTTCCTGACAACACACACCAGCGCCGATGCCAAGCACCAAATCCACTGACGTCATCAAACATTGTCTAGGATAAAAATATATTAACCATTAATGTCCCGTAACGCCCGCTGCCGCCCGACACCGTTAATGTCCCGTAACACCCGCTGCCGCCCGACACCGTTAATGTCCCGTAACGCCCGCTTACAATACGCATAGAAAAATTAAATTTGTTTCATTAAAATTTGGCCTACAAATCCTAATTTTTAACTAAACAGGAAGTCGGATAGTTTCAGCATCCTTTTCCGGTTTTCTAATTTCAATGGCGCTTTTGAAAGATAAAAAATAATAAATCCTTTCTATCTCGAAATTTTAGACTCATCTGTCCTATTTTTAGTAGATTAAGTATTAAAAATAAAATAAATTAATGCCTCTAAACGTATCTAGGCATGTATTTTATGAATTATATATCTTAAACATAACCAAATTGATATTTAACTGTTAAATTCGATGCATAGTTGTTTAGACAAAAATAAATAAAGTTGACTACCGAAAATGACCTGTTTTGAATTTTCTCCGACATTTTTTATTTTTATACTGTACTTGTACCGAATATAATATATTCTATTTAATACTGTTGGAAAGCCAGGTTTATTCCCAACATTAAGCAGTAGTTTTTATCTTAATTTTCAATTTCATTTAGACAAAAACAAATATTTTGTGAAACTATTCACTTGATCATACAGAGTTATGCTCCTTACATTGGGCCGTCATGGGTGGAGTTTTGGTAGAATGAATGGGACATTAATGGTTAAAAAACATTAAAATATTACAGTGCAATGGTATGCCTAGTCAAATTGAAGGAATGGCTAATTGTTATTGACCAGAGTTTAAAACTTTGTGTGTGCAGGAAATCACCTCAATAATTAGATAATCATATTTAGTGATTTAAGTCAGATAAATCAACTCCACTCAGGTAAAATGGAGTGATGAGGATTAAGTAAGTACTCAGGTAAAAAGATTCATATAAAATAATGTTCAAATGTTAACAACTTACCAAAAAGCCTCTCTCTTCAACATTGACTTCCATTAAACACTTTAATCTCATGAAAATCTGACCATACAAAGGAGACAAGTAGGGAAGCTGAAAGAAATATACAGTTAACATTGTTAAACTACATTCATGACATACTTAACAAGTAAATTTTTTAAAAATAATTATAGTAGAAAAGGGTGGAATGAGGATAAGACCAAATTAATTCTTACTCTTTCTAAATGAAAAGAATTTTTATCCAAGCACTTCATGTTAAGTGTGAGTGAAGTCACATGACTAAAACTTGTTGTTCTAACAGCTGTTGGTCCTCCAGGACTCTCCACTGTAACAATCAAAACAATTCACTGCACTTAAAATACTATGCAATAGCTACTGACAGTTATTAGCATGTCACATATAGTAGCACTAACAAAATAAGTCAAAAAAATCTTTTGTCCTTGTGAAGTGACTGTAAGAGGAACATTCTAACTCAAGAGAATTCAGTCAAATACTTACAAGCCATGGCATAGCCCTTTGATTTTTTAGGAGTCTTTTTCTTTTTGTCTTTAGAGTATTCTTTGCTAACACTCTGAAATATGAAATACTAGACTTGAAAAATCTAATCATCTTTTATTAAATTAATATACGGATATTTCAATACATTTTAAAAAGATGAATGACTAGTGAATGATTTGAAAGCAATGCATGGAATAAGAAGCTCAAGTTACCATGCTGTAAATATCAAGCACAAGTTTAAAGTTTCCAGTGATCCCATTAATTTTAATTAAGTTGGGAAAATCCAGACTTCCTCTCATCATAGGATCATGGGTAGACAACATTTGGGTACAGATCAGCTGGGAACCATTCTTAAACAGCAGTATGAAGTAATGTGTCGTAGTATCTGGTGGCAAATCATACAAGTCATTTTAACTACATAAACAAGGTACAAAACAGTCTTTTCTATTTAACAATATCAGCACAACAGTTAGATAATGTTTTTTTTTCAATTTACCTTGGGAAGTCCCTATCTTGGTGACAAACTCCTTCTTTAAAGGTAATCTGATATCACTGATTGTCAGAGACCCCTGTGGCCCAGGCCCTTCATGGGACAAAACTCCCGTCTCTTTCAGTCTCTGTATTTCTGTCATGTAGCACTGACGTTTTTGACCTAGAAAAGTCATTAATAAAAAGGTTAATATAGAACAAACAGGAATTATTTTTTTTAAAAGAGATAATACATCATACAAGCAAGATAAAAAGCAAGCAAAAGAAATAGTTCTATACTCACAAGCAATCAGCAACAGCTTGTTACACTCCACTTGTTCAGCAGAGCCAGCAAAATAAGAATTGCCCATGCAGCACTTGTTCAGGGCATTGCTTGTTTGCATGATCACATTTTGTTCTTGCTGAACCAACTCTTGTAATTCCTGCAACACACGTCATACAAACAGTAATTAGGAGCTTTAAAAAAAAAATTACAACTTGAATAATTTTAGTTACTCAAAGCCAAAAAGCCTAAATAAGCAAATTGATTACTTTAATACGTTCTTGAACAGCTCGTCTATCATCCCTTCTGGGTTCAGTGACAGCAGGCATTCTCACTTCCTCTTCTTCGACTGGTTTTCCTGCATACCTGCTACTACGAACAATGGGTTCCATCATATGCTGATGAATGTTGCTAATAGACCAATGAAGAAATAATTTATTATTTACTTAAAAAAATACAAACCAGAACCACAATTAAACAATTGCTTTTCTCTAAATATCCACACAAAAAATGGTGACAAAAAGCTATGTATCAAGTCACTTACGCGCTCTTTCTATAAGCTTGTAGACTATATGGTCTATTGTCATCTTCATCTTCTGTTGAGTCTGTTCCTCTGTTGTAGTTTCTGTGAGCCTAAATTTTAAACAATAGTTAACATGAACCATTTAAAAAATGTTTAGTTGCTATTTACTACAGTGTCTCCTTATTTTAATAGATGTGATAATCACTTTCTCTTCCAGAAAAAAAATTAGCCTTACTGGAACTGGATCAGTAGTCTTTCTCCTCATCTGTACATTGTTAATATCCATATCCGGATCATAATCATTGTTTGGCCTTGGTCTTCTCAAAACCACATTGTTCGGATCCATATCAGGGTCGTAATCATCTGAAGTATCACTCATAGCCTCATCCAACAACTCATCCACTGCATTTCTCTGTGAATCATCCTCCTCATCCATACTGTCATCATCTGCCTGGTATCCACCATGCTTTGAGGAGGATGGCATGTCCACACTTCCCTCACTGTCACCAGTGCCACCAAGCTCATCCCCAGAACTCTCTGACTGACTCGATCTTTGAGCTGGCACAGGCAGGATACTCTCCCTTCTTACAGCTTCAGATACAAAACCCTTCAGGCTGATATCATCATCATCAATATCCAATGAGAACCTAACATTTTCAAATAAAATTAGCTGAAATATTTGCTATTAAAAAACAGTGTACCTTAACTGTACGGTCACATATACACCCACACATCAATCTTATTTCCCTCTTAACTAGTTTCCAAAACAGAGCGAGGAAATGAATACCTGGAACCAAACTCCTCATCCCCAACATCTGAGCTAGTAGCACCATCTGATTCTTTTTCTTCCTTGGCTTTGGGTACTTCAGGTACTTTAAATTCCTTTTCTTCTGAAGATTGTGATGTCAATTTTCTGGCTGATCGTGGAATTTTGCGATCAGAATCATCATCACTGTCATCAAAACTGTCATTAAATTTAACCTGTAGTTTAAAGAATTTTGTTAATTTGTTGTTTTATCACACAATGTCTCCTGTGAATGCAAACAGTTTGAACTAGAAAAAGTTTCACCTTCTTTTCTTCAACAGTCTGAGAACTAATCTCTTCTCTCTTTTTGATCAGATTGTAGATGCTGCTAGTCTGTCCACCAGTTGTGGGTTTGGTATTGGTTTTAGATTCACTGGCAGGTAGGCCTGTAGCTGGAAGCTCCTTTTTCGATGAGGTGTCACTAACAAGACCAATCTCGGCCAACTTGCTGTTAAACTCTGCACAGATTAAATGAAGAGAAATTAACATGCAATGAATTCAGCATGCTATAAATAATCCCAACAATGATTCAAGACACTACCTGCTCTAGCTTTGTTGCGAGCCTCCTCTCTTCTACTGCTTGCTGGGGTTTTCGGCTCTGAAGTAGGTTTCTCAGGCGTCTTGCTATCTACTTTAGAATCAACAGGGGCAACCTAGAACAAATAATTACATTAGCTGTAACTGATAGGAAATCTAATTGATGTAAAATCCAACATAACTAAAACTAAACAAATGTAGGTCTAGTAAAAATAAATACCTTAGAACTTTCATCAGATGATGAATTGTCATCTCTTAGAATACCATTTTTCCACCTGTTCTGAATAACTCCAAGCTCTGCCATTCTTGAAGCCCTTTCCTGAGCAGCCTTAGCACTAGCAGTAGTGATGCTATCCTGACACCGTTCAACCAACAGCTTTTGGGCTGACTTTGTTCCTTCACTAACCTGCTCAACAATTGAAAGTTAACTTTGAAGACAAGACTACAGACAGTGATATTAAACAATCAGATCATTGCATTTAGTTTGACCAGTAGAAAAGCAGCGAGAAAATAACCTTAGTTGGGGAGTGAATGATTTTGCTAGGCGTCCTACAAAGCATTTTGGAAGGAGACTGTTTTTCTGGTCCTGTCATGGCAGGGGAGCTACTGGACATATCTACACCTTTTTTTGACCACATGATGGATGCCTTCTCCTCTATACATTCCCTAAAGCTTTTAGCTGGTGTAACACTTTTAGTAACAGGAGGAGGTGGAGGTGGATTCTGTAACAAGAAAAGCCTTAAACAAATCAGTCACATTGAAATGTGACTTATACATTTTTCTAATAAAAACTTGCTTTTTAATAATCAAATAAAAAGAAGTGAAACATTTCAGTAAAAATATAAACCGCAATTAAATCAATTTTAGAAAATAAAATAGTTAAATGGGACGGCAAGCATTTGAAGATGAGCTACACACTGACCTGTGGAGTGGCAGGTGCTGCTGATGAGCCTGGTACAATGCTGGAGAAAGGTCGAGGCTTTGGGGTGACTGGTGCAACATCAGCAGGATTTACTTTCTTCACATTGCTGACATTGTTGGCGGCTGTCATAGTCTCCCAAGCTGACATCCTGGCACCCACTGGGAAAGCTGTGGGTTCATCTTGTCGACGCAGCGGAGTGTTGGAAAGCTTTTCTTGCATTTGTGACATGCGTTGAGACACTGGCAGCTCAGATGGGTCTCGCACCTTTGTTGGTACAGCACTAGTTGGAACTGGAGTAGAGGCTGACAACGCTGGTGTACACACCTAAACATGAACACCATGAGTTATTTGAGAAGAAATATAAGCAGTCTTGTGTTTTTACTACTAAAATCTGTGGTATGCCATACAAAATTGAATTTTTTAAATTTTACGCTAAGACGAGCTAAGTTAATAAATGAACATAATGCACAAAAAACAAAAATATTAGTTTCTATTAAGCTGGACTTCAAAAGCTTCTAATGAGTATTGCATAATACCCATTCTGTAGCATATATCTTACACAAAACCAAGAGCATTCAAAGAGAATAATCTATGTACATATATATGTGTATATATATAACTATTTATTACGCTAACTATACAAGGCCTCTTAATCATTACAACTTTTATGTGCAGATTCTTGCAAAAAGCCAACAAACTGATTCCTCTAAGATTAATTTACTATAAAGTTACTTGTAAATTTTGAATGTTATGTAAATTTAGTATAGCTTAAAACAACTAGAGACTGGACAAAGTGGTAGATTATGGTAGATGGCCTATGCTCCACTAAACGAATAAGTTTCTAATATAAATTCAAACAAATTAGATTTAAAAAATATAAATTTTATTTAAGGTAAAACATGCTCATGCAAATAAAAAATAATCAGCTTTTATTAAATGAGCAATAGAAGCATGCATTAAAAAAACCTTCAGCACTTGGTTAGCAGAAGCAGTGTTAGCAAGCAAATGTCAAAGAGTTTCAACCTGTTTGGGGGTTTTTGGTACATGCACAGAGGAGGCTTTCCCAGATCTTGGAGTGCTTTCTGTAATTTTCTTTTCAAATGACGCCAGTTTAGAAGACAGTGGCTGTCTGGATGGTTCAATCACCTTTGACTTGGGGGTCTCTGTCTTCTGGGCCCAAGTGGCCATTCTCTGAGAAACAGGTTTTGATGTAGGCTCATCCATGGTTTTGTTCAGATCACTTTCAGGAGGCGTTTCATTCAGTCCTGGGGCATTGACAGGCAGATCTGATGGTGGGGAGTTCCATGTTCTGGCAGGTGAATTAGACCCTGCTGGTTTTATAACTGACTTTACGGGAGTGGCTAACTTAGCAGATGCTGTCAAATCAACGGAAAATTTGACTGGAGAAATCACGTTGTCTTTGTAGGCAGGTGAAAATGGTTTTGGTGAGCTATTCAGTTCAACCTATTAGCAAGTAGATGAGTAGAACCAACATGCGACACTTGAAATTTTACAAGCTTTTAGATTCATTTTAAATGGCATTACGTAGTTTAACATATGTGAATTAAATAAATACATTCACATTAATTCATGTAGCAATACATTATAACATGAATAGAAAAAAAAAATAACATGCCCATTTTCATTGAACCTATGAAGTAGATAATGAGGTAACGTATGTTTCAAACAAAATTAAAACATTTACCTTGGATGTCCTCAAAGGCGAGTTTCTTGTCAAAGTGGAGGCAGGACTTTTAGGCACATTATTCCTGGGTGTAGGCGGAGCATGTGTTTTTTTAGGTGAACTACTGGCAGCCACACTAGACGCTACGGTGGTGGCTACTGGAGCTTTGGGAGCAGGACCTTTACCAGAGGAGACAACACTAGCTTTGGGTAGGGTTTCTGCTTTAGCTGGTGCTGGGGGCTGCCATCTTGGCTTCTTCTCCTCTTCTTTCCTGCAACAATTTTAATATTTCATTGTTTTTTGGTGTAAACAAAGATAATTATGAAATATACAAAAAGCTGAATACAACTTACTGTATAACATGGCGTGTCAAATCATCTTCAAAATTATTGATATGTTGAGCTAGGGCAGCAAAGCGCCCTTTTCTGGCAGAGGAAATGCTGGATGAATTTTCTGCCTTGGCCGGTGATGGCAAACCTCTCTTCTCAAGTGGAGGAGATGAAATGCTTTTCCTAGGCTTTGGAGTTGGCACTTCAACATTTTCTGCAGAAGAACACATTGGTTTAAAAAAAGAAATTATTTTAACCTTTCAAAGAACTTCCCCATTCAACGAATCTTACCTTCATTATTATCTTTAGTAAGAAGGTGTGACAAATCCTTAGCACGTGAATGCACACCCTGTATGGCAGGAGTATCAGGTTTCAAGGTCTGCTCTACATCACGAAAGCATTGACGTTTTGGAGATTCTGTAGATAAAAAAATGTTACACATGGGAGAAACTTATCTAGTAGGAATCTACATTAAACCATGTCAAAATGCCAAAGAAAATGTTTCTGTCTACACATTGTTTTCTTTCATTTACCACTAAATTTTTTTTACCTTTGGCTACATGACTTTAGAATTTACAAAATACATTTGAAAAAACTTAAAAATTATATACAATGATAAATCAGTTTTGAAATGAAAGAAAATTGAAATAAATTGAACCAAAATGTGAACAAATAATACCACTGTTAACACAACTGTTTGTCAAAAAAAAAAAAACAAGGTTTCCCCAAAAGTCTAGATCAAATTTTAGTGAACTAACATTTTCATACAGCTAGTGAAGTAACTATTCAATATTCAATACAATATATAATATTCAATCTGGAGTAAATATAGGTTTGGCTATCTATTTTTACCATCAAATATAATAATTGTTTCTTTCTCCACCCAGTTATCTCATCGGCTTAATTTAATATTACACAAAAAAGTAACAAGCAGACACTATCCCATGTTTTAACAGTCAGCTCCTTGCATAAAATAGACCACCTAATCCTGATAGTATGAGTGTATAAGATGTTAAAAGTGAGGTAATTTAAAAGGATTCCTTCAAGCATGTACAGCTAAACAAATCTCTTTATTCGCAGAAAAAAAATTCTAAATTTTAAGAAACGAATGTAATGCCTTTTAAAATTGACTTTACAAACTACTATTTGAACTATTAGATACAATTTTTTAGTTGAGATTGCAAAGGCTTCACTATTTGTATAAAATGACACATTTATTGAAGTGCAATGAGTTTAAAAATTGTTTCAGAGTATAATAATTTGAAAGGGAGAGAACCAAAAATGTTTAAAGATAATACACAAGGTAACTTCTAAGTGTTAGCCAGGAAAATGGTACCAGAAATTGTTTTATCTTCTGTGATTTAAATATATAACATACATTAAGAAAAAACTGTAAGCAAATGTGTATGTTATACATTGTATTTAGAATTAAATATTGAGAATTTACTTGGTGTGAAGTAGTTAAATGATTAATTAAATAAAGTTTAGCAGGGATAAAAATTGTGTATTAAATGATGAAAACCATTATACTAGTGTCAGTAGAATACATCCCTTGAAACAGAATAAATTTAAAGCAAGAATTTTAACAAATTTTATTTTTTAATGAAATACCATAATATGGTGCATCTGTAATGCCTAGATGGGGGTGGGAAAAAATGAAAACATGGTTATTTAAGCAATAAAATACATTTGCTAAATTATAAAAATGTTTGAACTAAATCAGCATCGAGTTTTTCTACTTCTGACAATAGGACTGCAAACATGCTTTGTAGGCAAGACCAAACAGCAATGGCCTCCAAGCTTCATACAAGGGCTTTGATATTCATTTTTTCATTGCATACCACATAGTTTAGGAATTCTCTAAAGGTTAAAATTTGTAGTAGGACGTATACTTTATAAAGAGAAACTCAATTTGATCAGAATTATGGTATTCACTAATCTGAGGTTTAGGTAAAAAAAAAAAAATTAGTTAATATGTAGACTAGGCAACCAACAAAAAGAGACAGCTGAAGTAACATACCATCTTGGTTGTTCTGCACCTCTGTAAGAATTTTTTCAGATCCATCGCTTTCAAGTACAGGTGTTCTACGTTTACGAGGTGCAGCTTCTGGCATACCAGCTATTCTCTGGTTAAGTATCTCTCTTCTCTGCCTTGTCCTCTCAATGAGTCTCTGCCATTCATAAAGTAGACATTGCATGAAAAATGTATGCAGGGTAAATGTTTGTAACCCAGCTAAACATCAGTAAGTAAAGCATAGCTGCTACAAGATAAGGATCATGAAACAAATTTACTATACAAAAATAAAACCATGTGAGGAAATAATTTTCAAATATTGTTTATGCCTAATGCATTGTATCAATTAATCTCTACTAACTCATAGGACCACTTACTACTTTACGTAACTTAAAAAATACACAGACTCCTAGATCTTATTCTAAATGCTGAGTCCCAATAGTGTCCATGACTATACTAATTAAAGGCGTCCACGATTATAGATTCTATATGTCTCTGCTAGAGTAATAGTTTATTATTTTATAGAGTCCTTGCAAACACGTGACCTAAATCACGTGATACCTACGCCCGCCGCCACAGTGGTGTACATCAGACGTAAACACAATCAGCTGTTCGCCAGCGCTGGACGTGTTCACCAGCGCTGGACGTGTTCACCGTATGTAAAGAATCGCGCCCGCGGAAAAGGAAAAATATGTTAAAAAACTTGAACTCTTAGGAATTGAAGATCCTTATACAGTTATTGACAGTTTCGTGGATAATATAAATATGTGGCCGAAATTTCTAAATAAAAATACTGTTAGTAATACCGTTTGCGTTTAGAGTTTAAGTAGACGAAGCTGATCAAATGCAGTAATATATTAGCGGTTATCTACTGTAGCAAACGTGAGACCACTTAACTTCTACAAAACCCACACTACAACGATTAATATAATCCATGGGTAATAACCAATCTGGGTAGCATGTTATACAATTTAAGACCCTTATAATCCAGCAGGGAAGTAATCAGACACATTAATACTGACGTTCAACCTTCATGATGGCTGTCCCCACCTGTATCTAGCCCACAATAAAACCAAAGAGGAGTCTGCCATGCCCTCCCCTGAAAATGTCTCACCTCCGTGATACCCAGCCCCACAGAGATAGTATTTCTTATATAATTTTGACCCTCAGGGCCCAGCAGGGAGAACAAAGGGGAAAGTCCCACTGCTCTCCCCTCAACACTTCTCACCTCGGTGTCATGTTATGTCATTTATAGCACACACGGCTTATCAGGGGAAAGCATTAAGGCATTAAGAATCTTAACTCTGGACAGCTACACACTAGTATACTAGCTACACACTAGGTGCCTACTGTAAACTACTAGACTGTAGGCCCTATGTAGACCTGCAATTGTATCAATTGTAGACTGGGTCCATTGTTATTATTCTAAACCATCTCACTTATAATGTTTCTAGCTTGATTTGTTTCTTTTATAAACAGTGGATTTTAAAAAAAAAATTAGCCTAATCATTAACCTAATAATAATAATGTGGTTATTTGTTGTTGGCTGGTATGATCTAGATTGTTCTACTAGGCTACAAAAACTTAGTAGACCAATTACTAGATATGAATTTGAATTTAATTAAACTCAGTCCAGTATCAGATACATATTGCTGTAAAAAGACAACAAAGTAGGTAGGCCTTAGTAATTTATTAAAGCCTTCTACTACAATAATATCAACTACATGCTTGTATAAAGTTTTTACAATTTAATTTAAGTAGCAGATTCTAGATCTAAGTCTAGTCATATAATCTATTTCAATTTCAGAAAATTTCGTTTGCTAAAAAAATGATTAGATAATAGAGCGAGATTTTAGATCTTAGAGACAATTAAATGCTTTATTAGGCCTATTATGACTACTTTTGATTTATTATGGGTGTATTTTGAATCGAATGTAGATCTAAAGTAATTAAATTTAAGTAAAGAAGTAGATTCTAGATTCTATGTCTACCCAGCGGAGCCAGGTATAAGCCTACTATTAGATCTTGTTATTCTTATTAGCCTATAATATTACTTTTGACTTTGTCTTTTACTATTAGTATTTGTGAAGGTCGTGCATATTTGTTTTATTAATAGTTATCTTTTATAATTAAAATGAAGTTTATTATTTTACTGTCCTTACATGAAACAAAGTATCGAGAACTGCATTTGATCAGATTCGGCTACTTTAACTCTAAACGCAAACAGTATTACTAACAGTATTTTTATTTAGAAATTTTGTCCACATATTTATTTATACGAAACTGTCAATAACAGTATAAGGATCTTCAATTCCTAAGAGTTCAAGTTTTTTAACGTATTTTTCCTTTTCCGCGGGTGCGGTTCTTTACATACAGTGAACGCGTCCAGCGCTGGTCAACACGTCCAGCGCTGGCGAACAGCTGATTGTGTTTACGTCTTGTGTACACCACTGTGGCGGCGGGCGTAGGTATCACGAACGGACGTGACGTCATATGAAAGGACTCTATTAGAAAGTTGAGTAATTAGTCTTTAATAGTAATACATTCTAGAGATCTAAATGTTTTAAATATACTAGATCTAGGTAATTTCCAGTCTGTTGGGATAGCCGTATTTGTGACAGAGTGAGGTAGGCCTATAGATTAAGAGCAGTGCTATTTTATTTTTATCTTTTTAACTTAATCAGTTAATCACAATTTTCCCAAGTTTTTTTTCTCTTAGCAAAAATATAAGGGACATGTCTTTATCTTTCTGAAAATTTACCAGCAAAAATAAAATTTGGATAGGCCATGGATCTAGATCTAGTAGGCCTAGATCTAATTGTAATAAATAAATGCCAAAGGTATGAAAGCAGTGATGTGATCGATGGATTGAACCTGCAAAATACAAAAATACTATAATCTATCGTTTTAGGTACGTAAAATCGCCAGCGGCTAGTAATGTACGAAAAAGTTACCCCTTTGTCAAGGCTTTAATAGAAGTCAGAAGTATTTTGTGATATATTTGTGTCAAATATTATAGATAAATGAATAATAAACCTAAATCAATGGCTAAATATATCAATATAGGCAAGAAATTAACTTTAAACAGCAGTGTTTGCTAGCAGGATTTGCTATAAAAAAGTGGCCATCTGTAAGTTAGAGTGGCTTCCCCTGAATCATGCGCTATTAGTTTACAATAAAAAAAAATAAACAAGATGGCTGCTATAGTAAATGAGCATGGTTACATCTGTTGGGAACATCGCTAGTCTTCATTTATTATTGAAAAGTTTTAATTCAGTTGTTTAAAAACAGTTACATAACATAGCCTAAGGCCTAAATGAAACAAGGAAACATTTTTGAATTTTTCAAAACATAAATCCTCCTCAAAATGTGAAATACCTATTAAAATTTATTATTTAAGGAGTCACCTGTTTTTCACATTACTAGTCGCAGGCGATTTTTACACACCTAGAATGATAGATTACCAAAAATACAATGCAATGTCCACACAGCTTCAATTGGTTTTTAACATTTTAAATTGTTAATTTTAAATTATGTAGATCTAGGCCTATAAAAAAGTCACAATCTATAATTCTCTTCTGGGAGACGTTAGAAAACAAGCTGCAAGCGCGGCTTGCAGTCCCCTCTCTCCCTCTCTATCACTACCACCCCCACATGGTCAGGTGAGCGGTGGTTCACTCTAAACTCTAAATGTTTACAATCCTAGAGCCGGGTTTAGTGACGGCTATTAGGGGCAGAAAATTTAGTTTGAAATGATTTTAAACTTAGAGGAGGTAACTAAGAGGAGGCTGCTTTCACGGGGGGGGGGGGGGGGGGCGTATAGGGTAGGGGTTGGGGGAAAGGGGGGTAGTGTTTTAAAGCAAATATTTTCAGTGGCAACATTGGTACTGTCGAATTCACAAATTATGAAAATTACTGAAAAGTAGAAAATAAAACAATAGTAAATAGCCAATAGCGGCGTATGATAAGCCACGGACGCCACGGGTCGGCTCGTTGTCATTATTGTGAAAAGTCCGAAAGGCTAATAAAAAAAACGAATAATAATTAGAGATCTGGATCTAATCTAGATCTAAAACTAGACTCTATCTAGAGATCTAATAATTTAGAGATCTAGTAAGGCTAACTCATTAGGGTAATCTATCGTTTTGGGTACGTAAAATCGCCCGCGGCTATTAATGTACGAAAACGTTACCTCATTGTCAAGGCTGTAATAGAAGTATATTGTGATATGTTTGTGTCAAATATTATAGATAAATGAATAATAAACCTAAATCAATGGCTAAATATATCAATATAGGCCAGAAATTAACTTTAAACAGCTGTGTCTGCAAGCAAGATTTGCTATATAAACAGCAGCCATTTGTAAAATAGAGTGACTTCCGCCTGAATCTCGCACTATATGTCTATAAAAATAAAACTTTAACAAGATGGCTGCTATAGTAAATGAGCGTGGTTGCATCTGTTGGAAACATCGCTGGTGTTCATTTATTACTGAAAAGTTTTAATTCAATTGTTTAAAAACAGGTACATAAATGAAACAAGGAAACATTTTTGCATTTTTTCAAAAGTCCTCCTCAAAATGTGAAATAATTATTAAAATGTAAGGAGTCACCTGTTTTTCACATTACTAGTCGCGGCCGATTTTACGTACCTAAAACGATAGATTACCCTCATTAGCCCTCATTCATTAGGCCTACTGGCAGTAAATGAGTAATCATACTGGGAATAGTGAATAAATAGTTAAATAATATTAAATATAATCATTGATTCATTAGACACTTCGCTAGACTAAAAAAACCTAGACTAGATCTAGTAGAGTAGAATCTATAATATTAAATAATAGAAAGAGAATCGAATAGGTAGGACAAAGACAGACCTGCGTGTCTGGATCCATTCTGTTTCTTCTCTAGTTTAGGCCTATTGCAAAACAAATTTAAATTTTAGTTCAACTCAGTGTTAACATTGCACTTCCGTGAACAACAATAATACGAACTTTTCAAAATTGGCGGTTGAAATCGCGAGGTTTCACGCGAGACTGCCAACTCATTTTGGTTGGTCGCTGTTATCTTTTAGTTTTATCTTCACGAAAAGGTCATAAGGCCAAGTCAACCTGCCGTATTTAAATATAGGCAAGTCCAATATAAATTCAAAGTTTTAAGTTTTAAACAGAGCTACACGTCAGGTAAACTAGAGTTTACCTACAGGATATCAAAATACAAAGAAACGCAAGCTATTTAATGTGATATTCTCAATGTAAAAATTACTTTAATAAGGTTAATGCCATTAAAATATCATAATCTAAATTAGGCCTAGATTAGTTTCTTATTTCAAGAAAAAGGGGAACAAGGTTTTTTTCCAGACATTTATGGTGGGGGGGGGGGGGGGGGGGGGCGAACACTGGTTAAGAATATGGCCTCTGTATGGGGAAATGTTTCCAAACCACATTACTTATCTTTTATTTTCATATGTCTTGCACGCACGACTTCCAACAATCTTCAGCACCTACTGGTAGGGGGGGGGGGGATGCAAACGGAAGAAACAACACGGCGACGTGAACTAGACTACTAGAGGCCGACACCTATAGGTTGAGTAAGTTACATCGGGGGAAAAAATGGCTCAGGTCATGTGACTGGGAGTGTACAGAGTTTCTTCCAGGCATCTCTTCGGGGCGAGCTCTGCCCTCCACCCCCCCCCCCCGAACGAAATGAAATTTATATAGAAAATATATACTTTTTACAGTGTCCGTCCTCCCCCTCGAAGAAAGTCTACCGCCCCCCTCCCCGAAAATTTCAAGTGCCCCCCCAGAGAAAAGAGTGGAAGAAACCCTGGGAGTGTAGCGGCTTATACCCCAGCATGGTTGACTCGCTGTAAGCAAGTCTACTTACATAATGCCTGCATAGTGATTCTCGGTCGTTGGACTAGTTAAAAACTAAACATTCGACGTTAATTATCGAAAATAAAATGGTAAAATAAAAGTTAGGGGGCGTGGCAGATAACCTCCATAACTATTCAACAAGACAAAAATTTGCTTCCATTTTAATATAGCCCTTTTAAAAAAAAACCCCCACTACTTTTGCTTTTAAAAAAGAAGTGATGTATCTGCACTCTCACCTTGTTTCTGATTGTTTTTTACAATGTATAACTTTAACTATGTTTGCTTTTATTTCTGATGCTCTCAATAGTCAAAAACATCTGCTGCTTTAAATTTATATTTTCTATATCCAGAAAATAAAAATTATGCACATACCTACACACCAGAGTAGTGACGAGGGGGGGGGGGTACATATCTCCCCGGGCGCCAACCCTAGGGGTGCCAAAAAAGCTCATTTTAGCTGCTATTTTTAGGTTTGGAAAGCCTATTTATAGGCGGATTGAACTAAAAATAGTTATTGAATGACCTGTTAAAAAAAAAACACCCACCTTTCCACTACTGCAGTTTGGATTTATTTCGAGAAGTAGCCCATCAAAGTTTACAGAGAAGTCAGGCTTCAATATCACAACTAGCTCATTAAGTGTTCGCTACCTATTCCTCTGTGAACTAAATTATCTTCTTAAATCAACCCAACCCCTGTGCACGAACCCCGGTATAAAAGTTAAAATGTGCCATTCATCAGCCAAGGAGCAACTCGTTCTCCCCCCCCCCCCTTCCCCATACCAAGTGCGAAGTCATTTGTATTGACCCCATTGAAATAAAACAAAAGCATTTTTTTTACATCAGTCAGTGTCCAATTTATTAGTCAGTCTCAATCCGTTGTACAAGTGTAAACAATTGTAAATCAAAGTAAATTAAACTGTAAATCGTGTAAATCATGTAAATCATTACAAACAGTGAAAATGTCACATTCATTCTGCTACTTTCACCAAATGCTCTCCCTGTCCGGATTTACCCGGATTGTTTCCCTTATGTTAGAATCTAAGCCAGCCTATGCTAATAACTATTCTTTCCTTTACAACCTAGTTGTAAGTGGGTCCAGACTGGAAATCGTCGGTTAAACGAGAGTCAGTCAGGACCCTTTAAACAATTTGATTCTTTAGATATTCACTGTAACTTTCAATTAAAAATTAACTATGTGCTGCAGACATCTATTGATGGTTTCAACTACTTTGCTATAGATAATAGTTTCAACTAATTGTTCTACAGGTAACAGTTGCAAATGTTCAATGAATGAACTGTATGATAGATGCTGTATCAACTGTATGATAGATGCTGTATCAACTGTATGATAGATGCTGTATCAACTGTATGACAGATGCTGTATCAACTGTATGATAGATGCTGTATCAACTGTATGACAGATGCTGTATCAACTGTATGATAGATGCTGTATCTAACCAACCCCCGCGGATATCACATTCAAACGGTCATGAAAAATGGAATCGGAAAGTCTGTCGGTCACGTTACGCCGCCTCCCCCTCCTCCTCTTCCTCCTCAAACTCTCCCTCCTCCTCAGCTGTGGCATCCTGGTACTGCTGGAACTCTGAGACCAGGTCGTTCATGTTGGACTCGGCCTCAGTGAACTCCATCTCGTCCATGCCCTCGCCAGTGTACCAGTGGAGGAAGGCCTTTCTCCTGAACATGGCTGGGGACCAAAGTCAGGTATTCAAAGTCAGGTGTTTAAAGTCAGACATTCAAAGTCAGACATTCAAAGTCAGACATTCAAAGTCAGACATTCAAAGTCAGGCATTCAAAGTCAGGCATTCAAAGTCAGGCATTCAAAGTCAGACGCTCAAAGTCAGGTTTTCAAAGTCAAGCGGTCAAAGTCAGGCGCTCAAAGTCAGGCATTCAAAGTCAGGCATTCAAAGTCAGACACTCAAAGTAAACATTCAAAGTCAGACACTTTAAGTCAGGCGCTCAAAGTCAGACACTCAAAGTCAACATTCAAAGTCAGACACTTCAAAGTCAGGTATTTAAAGTCAAAGTCCCAGAGGAAGCGATTTTAGAAAGAGACAGTAACAGAAAATGTCAGGCTTCAATATCACATATAATTAATAACTTTTCAACCCAGGAAAATGAAACATTTTATTTCATATAGCATTCACAGATTAACTCGCAGATTACTAACCAGTAAACCGATGGATAAAACGCAAGTAAAAGCATGCCTAAACCTACCACCTACAACCTACTACCGACAATCTACCACATGCAACCTACCAGTGAACCTTCAAACAGCACAAAACATTCGACTCACCACAAACCGCCAACCACAAAGCTACCACCCGTAAAAGTATTCCCAAAACATAACACCGTCAACCTACCGCACCTGCAACCTACCTACCTACCTACAACCTACCACCTAAAACCTACCACCTTCAACCTACTACCTAGAACTTACCATCAACAAACTACCACGAAACCTACAACCTATCAACTAGAACCTACCACGAAACCTACCACCTACAACCTACAACCTAAAAACTATCACCTTTAACCTGCAACCTAGAACCTACCATCAACAATTTACCACGAAACATATTCCTACCACCTAGAACCTACCAAGAAACCTACAACCTACTACCTACAACCTACCACGAAACCTACAACGAATCATATAGAACCTACCACGAAACCTACAACCTACCACATAGAATCTACCACGAAACCTACAACCTACCACATAGAAACTACCAGGAAACCTACAACCTACCACCTAGAACCTACCACAAAACCTACAACCTACCCGTAAACTGCTCCGATATCCTCTTGAAGAGTTCCTGTATGGCCGTCGTGTTGCCGACAAATGTGGCCGACATCTTGAGGCCCCTGGGCGGGATGTCGCACATGGCTGTCTTGACGTTGTTGGGGATCCACTCGACGAAGTAGGACGAGTTCTTGTTCTGGACGTTCAGCATTTGTTCGTCAACCTCCTTCGTCGACATCCGACCCCTAGTGGCATTAGAAAACAGCTTTATATTGGCTACCCCTAGTGGCATTACATTGGAAAACAGCTTTATATTGGCTACCCCTAGTGGCATTAGAAAACAGCTTTATATTGGCTACCCCTAGTGGCATTAGAAAACAGCTTTATATTGGCTACCCCTAGTGGCATTACATTGGAAAACAGCTTTATATTGGCTACCCCTAGTGGCATTAGAAAACAGCTTTATATTGGCTACCCCTAGTGGCATTAGAAAACATTGTAAATTGGCTACCCCTCGTGGTATTAGAAAACAGCTACACAAAACATAAGTGATCCAACACTCACAGATCAAGGCTGGGTGAAGGGGAAATTAAGTGAACAAATGTGGTAAAGGGGTGGAGAGGGTTTTTGGTCCTTTTGGACTACTTCATCATGTAATTATCAACGATGTGCGTACCAATTTTAGTTATCAAAATTAACTTTTATCCTGCGTTAAAATGTTTAAACGTAATAAGGCGATGGTATTAAACATCTCATTAGCAGGTTTTATTTCAAATGTCTTTTTCTATTTGAAACTTCCAGTGGGAAGGGGTGGATGGGCAATAGAGGGAGTGAGCGAAAAATGTATAAATAAGAGTTTTCTGTTATGTCCTGTGGATGGGACACATTGAACCAATCCCCTCCCCCCCCCCCCGAAATTAACATTGCTCATTAGATAAAGGTATGTGGGGTTTTGTTTAGTAAAATTAGCAGCGCTTTGAGATAAACAATCGATTAAAGGAATGAATTAAAAAACAGGAAAGAAGGCTTGAAACTTACATCAGCTACAGTGGACCCGACAAGAGTAAACAAAGCCGTCACCAACTTAAACTTACATGAGATACAGTAGACCCTACAAGGGTAAATAAAGACGGCACCAACTTAAACTTACATGAGATACAGTGGACCCGACAAGAGTAAACAAAGACGGCACCAACTTAAACTTACATGAGATACAGTGGACCCGACAAGAGTAAACAAAGACGGCACCAACTTAAACTTACATGAGATACAGTGGCCCCTACAAGAGTAAACAAAGACGGCACCAACTTAAACTTACATGAGATACAGTGGACCCTACAAGAGTAAACAAAGACGTCACCAACTTAAACTTACATGAGATACAGTGGACCCGACAAGAGTAAACAAAGACGGCACCAACTTAAACTTACATGAGATACAGTGGACCCTACAAGAGTAAACAACGACGGCACCAACTTAAACTTACATGAGCTACAGTGGACCCTACAAATACGACACCAACTGACCTGAACATGCATGCCACCGTCAGGTACCGGCCGTGCCGCGGGTCGCAGGCGGCCATCATGTTCTTGGCGTCAAACATCTGCTGCGTCAGCTCCGGCACCGTGATGGCGCGGTACTGCTGGGAGCCGCGTGACGTCAGGGGAGCGAAGCCAGGGATGAAGAAGTGCAGCCGGGGGAAGGGGACCATGTTGACACACATCTTGCGGAGGTCACAGTTCAGCTGGCCGGGGAAGCGGAGACAGGTCGTGATGCCCGACATGGCGGCTGATATTAAATGGTTCAGATCCCCATAGGTCGGCGTTGTGAGCTTCAAAGTTCTGGACATTCAAGCAGACGTACAGTGGTTAATGGCATTCATTATAGGCCTTCTGGTACACATCTTTTCAATTGGAATAATTTAACTAATTACAAAAATTACAGATTCATTTTTTACAGCAAAATATTAAAAATACTACTGTCTTAACCTTTCAGTAATGTAAATGGAAGAAATTCTGTGATGTTTATAAAACGGTCTTGTAAAGAAAATGTTATGTTGTCTGCAAAGAAAATGTTATGTTGTCTGCAAAGAAAATGTTATGTTATCTGCAAAGAAAATGTTATGTTGTCTGCAAAGAAAAAATTATGCTTATTGAAACGGCCTTGTAAAGAAAATTTTATGTTTATTAAAACGATCTGGTAAAGGAAATGCGATGTTTATTAAAACGGTCTTGTAGATGAAAGCCTAAGAATTCGAGGCGAAGTATTTATCTAAACTGGTATCGCTAACCTAACCCCGCCATATTTGTATAAAACAAGAACAAAAGTTTAGGTAGACGTATCAATCAAGTCTAGCTCGTCAAGAACAGAATTTGTTTACATTGTGGACTAACGATGTTGTCAAATTTATTTTTATGGTAGGACAACGATAAGTTAATTTAACATGGTGGATTAGTCAAATGATAAGTTTTAATACAGGTTAATTAGCGATACTAATTTATTTTAAAAAGGAGATTAGGTATTGGCATAAGTTTAATTAAAGGAGATTATTGATGTCATTACCTTAAGTAATAAAGGAGATTATCGATGTATTAAGTTTAATTACCAATGTAAACAGGCAATGTCATAAGTTTATTAAATAAAGGAGAATATCGATGTTAATCTACCTGAAGCAGATGTCGTAAAGCGCCTCGTTGTCAATGACGTAGGTCATGTCTGTGTTCTCTACCAGCTGGTGTATGGAGAGGGTGGCGTTGTAAGGTTCTACAACTACATCAGAGACCTGTTCACAGGTGTACAGCAAGTTAGTACATGTGTTTACTGGAGCACAGTACATAGCTAGTCTACTGGCGCACAGTACATAGCTGGAGTCTACTGGAGCACAGTACATAGTCTACTGGAGCACAATACATAGCTAGTCTTCATGAGCACAGTACATAGCTAGAGTCTACTGGAGCACAGTACATAGTCTACTGGAGCATAGTACATAGCTAGTCTACTGGAGCACAGTACATAGCTAGTCTACTGGAGCACAGTACATAGCTAGTCTACTGGAGCACAGTACATAGCTAGTCTACTGGAGCACAGTACATAGCTAGTCTACTGGAGCACAGTACATAGCTAGAGTCTACTGGAGCACAGTACATAGCTAGAGTCTACTGGAGCACAGTACATAGCTAGAGTCTACTGGAGCACAGTACATAGTCTACTGGAGCACAGTACATAGTCTACTGGAGCACAGTACATAGCTAGTCTACTGGAGCACAATACATAGCTAGAGTCTACTGAAGCACAGTACATAGCTAGTCTACTGGAGCACAATACATAGCTAGTCTATTGGAGCACAGTACATAGTCTACTGGAGCATAGTACATAGCTAGTCTACTGGAGCACAGTACATAGCTAGTCTACTGGAGCACAGTACATAGCTAGTCTACTGGAGCACAGTACATAGCTAGAGTCTACTGGAGCACAGTATATAGCTAGAGTCTACTGGAGCACAGTACATAGCTAGAGTCTACTGGAGCACAGTACATAGCTAGTCTACTGGAGCACAGTACATAGCTAGAGTCTACTGGAGCACAGTACATAGTCTACTGGAGCATAGTACATAGCTAGAGTCTACTGGAGCACAGTATATAGCTAGAGTCTACTGGAGCACAGTACATAGTCTACTGGAGCACAGTACATAGCTAGAGTCTACTGGAGCACAGTACATAGCTAGAGTCTACTGGAGCACAGTACATAGCTAGTCTACTGGAGCACAGTACATAGTCTTCATGAGCACAGTACATAGCTAGTCTACTGGAGCACAGTACATAGCTAGTCTACTGGAGCACAATACATAGCTAGTCTTCATGAGCACAGTACATAGCTAGAGTCTACTGGAGCACAGTACATAGTCTACTGGAGCATAGTACATAGCTAGTCTACTGGAGCACAGTACATAGCTAGTCTACTGGAGCACAGTACATAGCTAGTCTACTGGAGCACAGTACATAGCTAGAGTCTACTGGAGCACAGTACATAGCTAGTCTACTGGAGCACAGTACATAGTCTACTGGAGCATAGTACATAGCTAGTCTACTGGAGCACAGTACATAGCTAGTCTACTGGAGCACAGTACATAGCTAGAGTCTACTGGAGCACAGTACATAGCTAGTCTACTGGAGCACAGTACATAGTCTACTGGAGCATAGTACATAGCTAGTCTACTGGAGCACAGTACATAGCTAGAGTCTACTGGAGCACAGTACATAGTCTACTGGAGCACAGTACATAGCTAGTCTACTGGAGCACAGTACATAGCTAGAGTCTACTGGAGCACAGTACATAATAAGTCTACTGGAGCACAGTACATAGCTAGAGTCTATTGGAGCACAGTACATAGCTAGTCTACTGGAGCACAGTACATAGCTAGTCTACTGGAGCACAGTACATAGCTAGAGTCTACTGGAGCACAGTACATAGCTGGAGTCTATGGCCTACTGAAGTACAGTTAGTAGAGTAAGTAGTACTTACTTTAGGGGACGGGACGATGGAGTAGGTGGTCATGATCCTGTCCGGGTATTCCTCCCTGACTTTGCTGATGACCAGTGTCCCCAGACCCGAGCCGCTGCCCCCACCCAGGGAGTGAGCAAGTTGAAAGCCCTGAAAGTATGTCATGACGTCACACACATCTGCTCAAAGTCGGTCATTACATCACAAAATTCAGATGGTATTATGTCAATTCAGTCTCTACACTGCTGAAATGTTCTATATCATCTAAACCTGTGGAATGTTCTACATCATCTAAACATGTGGAATATTCTATATCTGAACATGTGAAATGTTCTATATCTAAACATTTGAAATGTTCTACCTCCCTGGAAACATCACACGACCTTTACCTGTAAACAATCACAAGACTCCGCCTCTTTTCGAGCGACATCTAGGACTGAGTCCACTAGCTCCGCCCCTTCGGTGTAATGACCTTTGGCCCAGTTGTTTCCGGCCCCGGATTGTCCGAAGATAAAATTGTCCGGTCTGTGAATTTGTCCGAAGGGTCCAGATCGGATACTGTCCATCGTTCCTGTACAATTTGGGATCTGATTATAGGGGCGCTAGTTTGGGATATCCTCCCCATACGTTTGGGATATCCTCCCCATACGTTTGGGATATCTTCCCTATACGTTTGGGATATCTTCCCCATACGTTTGGGGTATCCTCCCCATACGTTTGGGATATCCTCCCCATACGTTTGGGATATCTTCCCCATACGTTTGGGATTTCCTCCCCATACGTTTGGGATATCCTCCCCTGCATACACATGTTGATGTAGCCTACTGCTTTAAACAACACACATCATACACAGACTACCCATCTATAGAAGACCAACACACAGACTAACCACACGTACACAGGCGCCCCCCTCCACACACACACACACACAGAGACGACCCACACACAGACGACCCACACACAGACGACCCACACACAGACACCCCACACAGACGACCCACACACAGACGACCCACACACAGACGACCCACACACAGACGACCCACACACAGACGACCCACACACAGACACCCCACACAGACGACCCACACACAGACGACCCACACACAGACGACCCACACACAGACGACCCACACACAGACAACCCACACACAGACGACCCACACACAGACGACCCACACACAGACGACCCACACACAGACACCCCACACAGACGACCCACACACAGACGACCCACACACAGACGACCCACACACAGACGACCCACACACAGACAACCCACACACAGACGACCCACACAGACGACCTAGCTAACCCACCTGGCTCCAGATCCACCAAGATCCCCCGGGGCACGTACTTGCCGCCCGTGGCCTCGTTATAGTAGACGTTGATCCTCTCCAGCTGCAGGTCGCTGTCCCCATGGTAGGTCCCCGTGGGGTCGATCCCGTGTTCGTCTGACACCACCTCCCAGAATTTCCCGCCAATTTGGTTGCCGCCTGCAACAAGAGGACACGTTTCTAGAATCTCTTACAGATGATCTCAACCTTTACCATAAACATGGACATAGCCTCAATTATAGCCGGAGATTTTCTTCTGACCACAGTCACCCATTCGTCAACCATGCTTTATAGAATTACAATGAGTGGGAAGTGCACTATTTCTATTGACCTGGCTGGGTTAAAAACAGCAAAACAATTTGTACTTCCGAAAAAAATGAAAAGTAGTCGATTTTTTTCTAGAGGACAAGTCTGCAGTATCTCCTTACTGTTGTCACTAAATACAGTTTCACTCGTTTGACTAAGGCTTATCTAACGTCATGGTAAAGCTGATTAGCAGTGAGTTAGCTATTGACAACCTACCAACCTGTCGAAGTTAACAGTGATTTAACTACACAAAACTTACCAACCTGTCACAGTTAACACTAATTTCTAACTACTGACAGTTTACCAACCTGTCACAGTTAACACAGATAGTTAACTACAGAAGACTTACCTTGGCCTACTTGAAAATGAACAATTTCTCGCATTTTTTGTCCCCGTCCAGTCGTCCAACACTCTGCTTCACCTCAGTATAAAGTCGCTGTCTCAGGTTCTATCAGAATTCCGCTAGTGATCTTCGAATACAGCCCTTCAAGAACTTGTTTGGCACTAGGAAAGTTACAGAAAATATTGAGAAATTTGCTTTAGCCTGCGTTCTTGCCAATGGTTTCTAAGTAAATAGTGCGTATTACGTCAAACGCGCTTTATGACATCACTTCAACCTAAGTTATTTATAGAAAATGAAACGAGATTTTCTTTTATATTTATTCATATTGGGCTATTTTTAGACTAGAGAGATGCGCAAAATTTATATTAATAGTAAGAAGAAAAATTTAAAACACATATCAAATAGTAAATACTAATTTACGTATTCAGGGATTTAAAAAAATGTCAGTAGACGATTTAGATATGGTGATACTGGATTGTTAGGGAGTAGGACCCCCCCCCACACACACACACAATAAATACCCAGTTATGATTACCATCAGATGAATTACCTCTGTCGATTACCTTCCTACCAAAAGCTGCAGTATCACATGACCCCCTAACCTATCGATTGTTGATTGGCACTAAACAAATTAGTGAAAGGGTTAGAGCTAGAGATAGGGCAAGGTTACGGCAGGGGCGTATCGAGGGGGGGGCGGGGGTGCGGACCGTACTGGGTGACACCATTTAGGGGGGTGACACCAAGGCAAAAAATAGAAAAATATATAGAGAAAAACTTGAGGGTGGGGGTGCAAATCGAAAACTTGAGGGGGGTGCAAATCGTAAACTTAAAAGTTTGTCCCCGGGAAGGGTCGCTACGCCTCTGGGGGGGGGGGGGGAGGGTGACACCATTAAGTGCCGCACCGGGTGACACCCGACCTCGCTACGCCACTGGGTTACAGTCACGGTCAAGGTCGATCAGGGTATAAGTTAGAGTTAAAGGTTTATTTGATGCCAGCAGTCTGCTCTACAACAACTGGTGAGTACACACGGTGACCTACTTTCTGCACGTGCTTCCTGGTGCCGACATGAAACAACAACACCAGTAGACCCACCACTGTACTCACGCACAAGGATGGAGGTAAAGATCGTTGGGGTGTTTTATTTGATATTTATGGCGTCATCAGCTACGGCCGTGACGTCACCAGCTACTGGTAAGTCCTAGTGTGAGTTTTTTATATTTGTTTATTTAAATAACAAAGTAAAACAAAGCAAGCAGGCTAAACACAAAGCATTTCTTTACCATTGCATTTCGAACTTTGTAGCACTGTGTCCACAAACACAATTATTTAATTTTAGAACCCCAGCCATAGCCTCATTTAGCATTACAATTTTTTTCAAAACGTCAGATTCATAAATAAAAGACAAGTATTTAAACATAAATTAATCGTTCCCTAGACTTCAATGTTTCACTTCCACGCGGGTCTTTGTAACTTAAATCATCAACCCCCCCCCCCCTCCCACCCCTTGCTTCTTGTGAGTGACTCTCTGGGGTCGGTCAGAACAAAAAGTGCTATGCCGTTCTACTCCCTCCCCCTCTTCATGTCATCTCTCATCCAATCGCAGCATGAGTAGATCACGTGCCACGCGCTTGTCTAGAAATAGAACTTAGAGCATCATGTTTACGCTCGTTTATCACCCCACCCTCTCCCCCACCCCAGCCAATAGCAGCTCGAGCTACCTGCACAGCAACGTCATCACACGTCTGATGAGCTCTGGGCGGCGTGACGTCATCCCCATCAGACGCGAGGCACACTACAAGCCCGTGGTTGTTTCACTTAGCTTCAGCGTCATCAACATCGAGAAGGTCGACCTTGACCTAGGCATCGTCCAGCTGATGGTCTGGCAGACGGCCACGTGGCACGACCAAGTTCTGGCCTGGAGCAGGGTAGACGAGGATTTTACACAGGTCAATGCTGGGTTAATGCTGGTCAACACGACATATAACATACTGTGTCATGCTATGTGACTGTAAACATCTAACATGTATGCATACATGGCGGTGCACTGTCAAAACGGGCCGGGACTAATCGGCCCCGTCAAAACGGTCCCGTTAATATGACCCCGTCTAATAGACCCCCCTCCCCTCGACAAAACGACCCAGTCAAAATAGCCACGTCAAAAGAGCCCCGATTTATTGGCTCCCGTCAAATGGCTCCCAGCATTTAGGTTCCCGATAAATGGACTCCCAAAATATTGGCCCCAGACAAATAGGCTCAGGACATGTTGGCTCCCGACAAATCTAGTCCCGACATATAGGCCTCCGACATATTGGCTCCCGATAAAGCGGAGCCCGACATATTGGCTGTCGACATAAGGTCTCACGACAAATGGGCTCCGAACAAAGGGGCTCACGACATATTGGCTACCGACAAATCTAGTCCCGACATATTGGCTCCCGACATATTGGCTCCCGACAAAATGACTCCATACATATTGGCTCCAGTCAAATGAATCGTATGACCACTATTGGCATAAAAGTACCAATTTTTTCCTAACTCCACTACCACTATAACCTTTTTTAAATGCCTGAATGAAATTGTTTTTATGAACCAACATCAATTCACAAACAAATCGAGACCTTAGCAGTAAAATTGCACCAATTCTAAAGTTTTGATAATGTTTAATTTACAACAGTAAAGATATGTTGCTTAAATGTGAGCACAGAAGTGTAAATGTATGATACACATGATGTTTACAGGTTAACGGCATTTTGTTTTGTTAACCTACGATCATACTGCAGGTACAGAGTGGACCCCACTCCCCACACAGCCTATAACCTACTCATTTATGGAAGTCATAGATAGATGACCTTTAAATTAAAACATACTATTTCTTATAATAAATAAACTATTATAAAAATAAGGCCTGCCGAACAAGAAATGCGAATGTTGTATTACTTTGGATGAGCTACACTAAAGAATATTGATGCCGGGAGACTTTTGTCAGGAGCCTTATTGACGGGAGCCTTTTTGTCGGGAGCCTATATAACGGGAGCCTATTTGTCCAGAGATAGATACCAAATACCTTGAGATATTGTCTTTTTTGTGACTTCTTAAATGTTAAAGATTTTAAACAACTTGCTTCCTAATTAATGTGTGTATAGATTCTGTCAAAATTCTGGTACTTGGTGTAAACCCTATCTTCTAGAGCACAAAATCAATCAATATGTTTGTTTAGGTATCGATACCAGCTGACTACATCTGGACCCCAGACATCACTCTGTTGAACGGGGAGGCAGACGTCTTGTACCCAAACACCGCCGTCATTTCCTACCGGGGAGCAGTTCGGTGGCTGACCAAACAACGCATGCGCGTCACATGTGACGTCTGGACTTCTAGCAACGGCACAACCTGTGACGTCAATCTAAGCTCCTGGACCCACAGCACACAGGAGCTTAAACTTGAGCTGTCGAGCGACCCGGTGAACGACCTGAGCTACCTCGCTGGCTCGAGGTACGAGCTGCTTGTGGCGGCGGCTAGAAAAGATGAGTACACCCTCCCAACAGGCACGTACGAAACTGTGCAGCTGTCGGTCACCTTCAGGAAAAAACTCTCAGTAGCAGCTAGTCAATCAGCTCTGATACAGTCCAGCCTGATAGTCTTGGTTCCCTTCATGTTAATGGCTAGGTTTAATGGCTAAGTTTTGGCGATATGTTAATGGCTAGGTTAAACGGCTAAGTTTTGGCGATATGTTAATGGCTAGGTTAAACGGCTAAGTTTTGGCGATATGTTAATGGCTAGGTTAAATGGCTAAGTTTTGGAAATACGGATTGTGTAGTGAATAGAGAACACATTAACACACGGGAAAAAAATAAGCATAAAAAAACCATAATCCAAGTTCAAAAACGTTTCAATACAAAAAACAATGTTCCTAATAAATTAAAAATGTCTGAAAATATATATTCAAAACTAAACTAAAAACCCTCTGCAACTGACTCATGGCATTTCTTATTCATTTATAGAATTCTCATCTTAACTCACGGTGTTTTACAACAAACTAATTATTATTATTATTATTATTATTATTATTATTATTATTATTATTATTATTATTATTATTATTATTATTATTATTATTATTATTATTATTATAATTATTATTATTATTATTATTATTATTATTATTATTATTATTATTATTATTATTATTATTATTATTATTATTATTATTATTATTATTATTATTATTATAATTATTATTATTATTATTATTATTATTATTATTATTATTATTATTATTATTATTATTAGGCTTATTATTATTATTATTATTATTATTATTATTACTATTATTATTACTATAATTATTATAATTATTATTACTATTATTATTAGTATTATTATTTTTATTATTACTATTATTATTACTATTATTATTATTATTATATTATTATTATTATTATTACTATTATTATTACTATTATTATTATTACTATTATTATTATTATTATTATTATTATTATTATTATTATTATTATTATTATTATTATTATTATTATTATTATTATTATTACTATTATTATTATTATTACTATTATTATTACTATTATTATTACTATTATTATTACTATTATTATTATTATTACTATTATTATTATTATTATTATTATTATTATTATTATTATTATTATTACTATTATTATTATTATAATTATTATTATTATTACTATTATTATTATTATTATTATTATTATTATTTTCTAAACAGGCAATGTGAACAAATGATCTCCGTGCCTAATGGTGTTGCCGTTATTAAATAAAGTTAAGTAAATAAATAACACGAACATTTAAACACAATCTTTTTCTATTCGGTTTTCATAAAAATAAAATATAATTTTGGATTAAAACAAAATCTTGTACAATCTTCGTGTTTAAATGTCACTGTTGCCATTTTGTCACTTCTGTGATAGCTTGTGTTTTTGTCAATTCCGTGATAGCTTGTGTTTTTTAATCACCATAAAACAAACAGATTCTATAGAAGGGTACCTAGACAATAAAAACAATGTTAACTTGACAAAACATAAAGTGGTCTTTTTTTCCATCCCCCCCCCCCCCCCCGAAATAAGAGGAGCTGAAGCACTCACGCACAATAATGACAGTATTCAAAGTTAATGGACTCATCACTTCATTGTCAAATTACCCTTCGGCCTTTTTTTTATGGCTGACATAGTATGTATGTGACATTTGTACTTGCTGGATGTGTATTTGTACTTGCTGTGTGTGTTTGTGACATATGTACTTGCTGTGTGTATGTGACATGTGTACTTGCTGTGTGTGTATGTGACATGTGTACTTGCTGTGTGTGTATGTGACATGTGTAGGCCTACTTGATATGTGTAATGTATCCTGAAAATCGATAGTTGACGGCCTTGCATATGATAGGCTTAGATAATAGAGATGATATTTTTTTGTACTTTAATATGACATCTGTCATTATTGTACTTTTACTTGAAATCTGTCATATGTATATATATATATGTATATATATATATATATATATATATATATATATATATATATATATATATATATATATGTCATAGGCAACTCAAACATTTAATGATAAATAGCAAGACAAAAAACAAGAAAAAAAATTCAAATCAAACGGAACTGATTCATTATTTAATTAGCAGACAGAGAAGTAACATTAGTTAGTAATTATAAAATAAGAGAACTTCTGAAATGGATGAGACCGCCGGAGTTGTAAGGAGATAAACTGACAGAGAACATAAAGCCACAGAAAGATGAGCGTTTTGGTAAACTTAGCCGGCTTGTTTTTCACGTAACGTGATGGAGAAGGTCACGTCATCATACTCATCAGGACAGCACGAGTAGCGGACTTTGTTTTGTCGGACGGACGTTTTGATGACCTCGAACTTGGAGTCGGGAGAAAAGTGGGTCACGTCGACTGAAGCCAGGCCAGAGGTGACCAGTCTGACGTCATCCGTGCTGTAGGTCCAAGGTCCAATCTTGACCTGACACTCAGCACCGGAAGTTGTCTTGACGCCTGACAGGTCACAGGAAGTGCGGAAGCGCAGGCTGGGGATCCACGTGACCTTACCGTCCCTGGAGACCACGGCCAGGTCGGGGCTCAGGGGGGTGGGGCTGTCCACGGCGTTGTAGACGGCCAGCCCAGGGGTCCAGATCTGTTGGCGGCCAATGGACACCTGGGGAGGGGGGGGGGGTTATGTTAGAAAGTATATGACTGGGGGGGGGAGGGGTTATGTTATAAAGTGGTTGCCTGGGGAGAGGGGGAGGTTCAAGCTAGAAAGTGTATGAAGGGGGGGGGGAAGTTTATGTTATAAAGTGGTTGCCTGGGGGGGGGAGGTTGTGTTAGAAAGTGTATGAAGGGGGGGGGGAAGTTTATGTTATAAAGTGGTTGCCTGGGGGGGGGAGGTTGTGTTAGAAAGTGTATGAAGGGGGGGGGGGGAAGTTTATGTTATAAAGTGGTTGCCTGGGGGGGGGGAGGTTGTGTTAGAAAGTGTATGCCTGGGGGAGGGGGAGGTTGTGTTAGAAAGTGTAGGCCTGGGGGAGGGGGGAGGTTGTGTTAGAAAGTGTATGCCTGGGGGAGGGGGGAGGTTGTGTTAGAAAGTGTATGCCTGGGGGAGGGGGGGAGGTTGTGTTAGAAAGTGTAGGCCTGGGGGAGGGGGGAGGTTGTGTTAGAAAGTGTATGCCTGGGGGAGGGGGGAGGTTGTGTTAGAAAGTGTATGAAGGGGGGGGGGAAGTTTATGTTATAAAGTGGTTGCCTGGGGGGGGGGGAGGTTGTGTTAGAAAGTGTATGCCTGGGGGAGGGGGAGGTTGTGTTAGAAAGTGTAGGCCTGGGGGAGGGGGGAGGTTGTGTTAGAAAGTGTATGCCTGGGGGAGGGGGGAGGTTGTGTTAGAAAGTGTATGCCTGGGGGAGGGGGGGGAGGTTGTGTTAGAAAGTGTAGGCCTGGGGGAGGGGGGAGGTTGTGTTAGAAAGTGTAGGCCTGGGATGGGGGGAAGTTGTGTTAGAAAGTGTATGCCTGGGGGAGGGGGGAGGTTGTGTTAGAAAGTGTATGCCTGGGGGAGGGGGGAGGTTGTGTTAGAAAGTGTAGGCCTGGGGGAGGGGGGAGGTTGTGTTAGAAAATGTAGGCCTGGGGGAGGGGGGAGGTTGTGTTAGAAAATGTAGGCCTGGGGGAGGGGGGAGGTTGTGTTAGAAAGTGTATGCCTGGGGGAGGGGGGAGGTTGTGTTAGAAAGTGTATGCCTGGGGGAGGGGGAGGTTGTGTTAGAAAGTGTATGCCTGGGGGAGGGGGGAGGTTGTGTTAGAAAGTGTATGCCTGGGGGAGGGGGGAGGTTGTGTTAGAAAGTGTATGCCTGGGGGAGGGGGGGAGGTTGTGTTAGAAAGTGTAGGCCTGGGGGAGGGGGGAGGTTGTGTTAGAAAGTGTAGGCCTGGGGGAGGGGGGAGGTTGTGTTAGAAAGTGTAGGCCTGGGATGGGGGGAAGGTGTGTTAGAAAGTGTATGCCTGGGGGAGGGGGGAGGTTGTGTTAGAAAGTGTAGGCCTGGGGGAGGGGGGAGGTTGTGTTAGAAAGTGTATGCAAGGGGGTGGGGTATTTTTTTGCTAGAAGATGGTTTCTGGTTTTATTGCCATTAACCTTCTGCTATGATGCCAGGTGTTTACTTACTGTGGCAGCAGATGTGACTGACTATACAGCCAGGTGTTTACTTACTGTGGCAGCAGATGTGACTGACTATACAGCCAGGTGTTTACTTACTGTGGCAGCGGATGTGACTGATTATACAGCCAGGTGTTTACTTACTGTGGCAGCGGATGTGACTGACTATACAGCCAGGTGTTTACTTACTGTGGCAGCGGATGTGACTGACTATACAGCCAGGTGTTTACTTACTGTGGCAGCGGATGTGACTGACTATAAAGCCAGGTGTTTACTTACTGTGGCAGCGGATGTGACTGACTATACAGCCAGGTGTTTACTTACTGTGGCAGCGGATGTGACTGACTATACAGCCAGGTGTTTACTTACTGTGGCAGCGGATGTGACTGACTATACAGCCAGGTGTTTACTTACTGTGGCAGCGGATGTGACTGATTATACAGCCAGGTGTTTACTTACTGTGGCAGCAGATGTGACTGACTATACAGCCAGGTGTTTACTTACTGTGGCAGCGGATGTGACTGACTATACAGCCAGGTGTTTACTTACTGTGGCAGCAGATGTGACTGACTATACAGCCAGGTGTTTACTTACTGTGGCAGCAGATGTGACTGACTATACAGCCAGGTGTTTACTTACTGTGGCAGCGGATGTGACTGACTATACAGCCAGGTGTTTACTTACTGTGGCAGCGGATGTGACTGACTATACAGCCAGGTGTTTACTTACTGTGGCAGCAGATGTGACTGACTATACAGCCAGGTGTTTACTTACTGTGGCAGCGGATGTGACTGACTATAAAGCCAGGTGTTTACTTACTGTGGCAGCGGATGTGACTGACTATACAGCCAGGTGTTTACTTACTGTGGCAGCAGATGTGACTGACTATACAGCCAGGTGTTGACTTACTGTGGCAGCGGATGTGACTGACTATACAGCCAGGTGTTGACTTACTGTGGCAGCGGATGTGACTGACTATACAGCCAGGTGTTGACTTACTGTGGCAGCGGATGTGACTGACTATACAGCCAGGTGTTTACTTACTGTGGCAGCAGATGTGACTGACTATACAGCCAGGTGTTTACTTACTGTGGCAGCAGATGTGACTGAACGGTTCCAGGCCAGCGCCTTGTTGTCCCATGACGTCATCTGCCAGACGACCAGGTCCAGCAGGTTGGTCTCAGGGTCAGCTCCCAGGATGTCGGAGAGACCCAGGCCTAGCCGCACGCGCACCGGACTGGCACCGTTCTTTGGGATGACGTCAGCATCGGATGAACGCCGGATGTGGGCGATGACGTCAGAGGTGTCCCGCTTCAAGGAGCTGGACACTGTCCAGAGAGATTGGAAATGTCCATTATGTTGAGCTACGGCTAACCACACGACAAAAAACATCTGTAACAGAGGCTATACACACGACAAAAAAACACCTGTAGCAGAGGCTAACCACACGACAAAAAACATCTGTAGCAGAGGCTAAATACACGACAAAAAACATCTGTAACAGAGGCTAACCACACGACAAAAAAACACCTGTAGCAGAGACTAACCACACGACAAAAAGGAATCAAGAACAATAATTAAACTATGGAAAAAACATGTACAACACATATACAACACAATATCTAGACCTACCTGACATAACCACATACACAAGACAACACAACAGCGCAACACAAGACAACACACGACATCACAATTACAACACAAATTGTGTCTACTTGCCATGAGCCACTAGCACCAGCAGTAAAATTGTAACATACACGACCATCTTGCCTTCTTGTCCCTCACAATCTGCCTGTCTCCTACCACACTCTCATTTAAATACATCCCGGCATCCAATCATGGAGACATTATCGTTGACACGTAATCGGGGTGGTGGGGGGGGGCAGAGATAAATGTCATAGTATTATGTAGTTTATGTTTTTGTAGTTTAACAACATATTAGCTCGACCATCATGTATTGTAGTTCAAACTGGCCTTTTTAAAACTTTGGTGAGTGACCCCTGGTAGTGCTACCCCCCCCCCATCTTCGCGGCAGTGACATTTGTAAGTCCAGAGTCATGCAGTAACATTTGTAAGTCCCGAGTCATGCAGTAACATTTGTAAGTCTAGAATCATGTAGGAGTCATGCAGTAACATTTGTAAGTCCCGAGTCATGCAGTAAAATTTGTAAGTCCCGAGTCATGCAGTAAAATTTGTAAGTCCCGAGTCATGCAGGAGTCATGCAGTAACATTTGTCCCGAGTCATGCAGTAACATTTGTAAGTCCCGAGTCATGCAGTAACATTTGTAAGTCCCGAGTCATGCAGTAAAATTTGTAAGTCCCGAGTCATGCAGTAAAATTTGTAAGTCCCGAGTCATGCAGGAGTCATGCAGTAACATTTGTCCCGAGTCATGCAGTAACATTTGTAAGTCCTGAGTCATGCAGTAAAATTTGTAAGTCTCGAGTCATGCAGTAACATTTGTAAGTCTAGAATCATGTAGGAGTCTTGCAGTAACATTTGTAAGTCTTGAGTCATGCAGGAGTCATGCAGTAAAATTTGTAAGTCCCGAGTCAATCAGTAAAATTTGTAAGTCCCGAGTCATGCAGTAAAATTTGTAAGTCCCGAGTCATGCAGGAGTCATATGCAGTAACATTTGTCCCGAGTCATGCAGTAACATTTGTAAGTCCCGAGTCATGCAGTAACATTTGTAAGTCCCGAGTCATGCAGTAAAATTTGTAAGTCCCGAGTCATGCAGTAACATTTGTCTCAAGTCATGTAAGAGTCATGAAGTAAGCACCTGTTAACAAGTTTGCCCCGGTGCTAACGCCCTGCCGACCTTTGTGTGTAAAGGTTGAAACCGTTCAAATGTCCTCTAAAATAAATGGCACTGTTTAACATATAGAGAGGACTGCCTTCAACCTATAATCAAGTGTAAAAACTTGTTTCAATTCTCTTATGTCACATTACCTCATCGTCCCCCCGTCCCCCCCCCCAACCATCCATGCGACCTGTGTGGGCGGGACTCTAGCGGCCCGTGCCCCCCCCCCCCCCCAACCATTCATGTGACCTGCATTTATAGTTTAAAAGCCTACGTTTTTAGTGAGAAATAAATATAAAATAAACCAGGAGTGATCTCCCCTACACTTTCTCGAATATTCTTATATAAGACAACAATGGATGGCAACTCCGGATATAGACATGATTTTTAATCCATTTTTAATTACTTAAACTTTTTAAAATAGAATAAAATCTCGTAGAAAAAAAAAAAGAATTGCACATCAAGTGAACGCCAAACAAAATGTGTATAATAGTGCGGAATATTATTAGTACTTTATAAATTCACATGCGTTTTTTTTTTGAGAAATCGGAAATAGCGTAAATTACTACTTCCGTCAACGGATATTACTCAAAGTTTGTCAGAAAGCAGATAATTAGATCTTTTACTTACATGTGAAATTTCATATATCTATCTGAAATAGTACTCAAGTTATAGGCTTTTGAAAAAAAATGAAAGTAGAAAAAGTTCCACTTCCGCTTATCGGAAATCGCTGAAAAGTTTATACGGAACTTCAAATTTGATATAATACTTATATATGAAATTTCATCTACCTAGCTGTAACGGTACTCAAGTTATCGTGTTCACAGTCACACATACACACACATATACACACACAGACATACGGACAAAATTGCAAAATTATGTTTTCCCGACTCAGGGAGGTGTAAAACGTCGAGATTTGTAAAAATCTCGATTTTTTTTTTTTTGCACGATTACAATACTTTCTCTATCCTTCGTACGAGAAAGTAAAAACTAAGATTCTACTCCGGACTATTCAGCTCGAAATTTACTGGTCTAAGGGAAGTAATCATGAGTATACGGAGCAAGGGAAGTAATAAATAAATATCTAGAGACCACATCTAGGTTATCGCCTATCGTTAAACCGATTTTAAGAAGCAAAGAGAGTCAAAACTACCAGGTATTCGGTGGAAGAATTACAGTCAGATGGATCAGTAGATTAGAATTATTTTAGCTTTCTTGTTTAGCATGAGGTTTATTTGTCTGGACCCGTGTTGTCGTTTACCATTCTGGACCCTTTGTTGTTTACCTGTCTATACCCGTGTTTACCTGTCTAGACCCGTGTTTACCTGTCTAGACCGTGTTGTGTTTCCTGTCTAGACCCGTGTTTACCTGTCTAGACCCGTGTTTACCTGTCTAGACCGTGTTGTGTTTCCTGTCTAGACCCGTGTTTACCTGTCAAGACCAGTGTTATGTTTACCTGTCTAGACCCGTGTTATGTTTACCTGTCTAGACCCGTGTTATGTTTAACTACTAGACCCGTGTTTACCTGTCTATACCCGTATTTACCTGTCTATACCCGTATTTACCTGTCTAGACCCATGTTTACCTGTCCAGACCCGTGTTTACCTGTCTAGACCGTGTTGTGTTTCCTGTCTAGACCCGTGTTTACCTGTCTAGAGCCGTGTACCTGTCAAGACCAGTGTTATGTTTACCTGTCTAGACCCGTGTTATGTTTACCTGTCCAGACCCGTGTTATGTTTAACTACTAGACCCGTGTTTACCTGTCTATACCCGTATTTACCTGTCTATACCCGTATTTACCTGACTAGACCCGTGTTTACCTGTCAAAATCCCGTGTTATGTTTACCTGTCTAGATCCGTATTTACCTGTCTAGAACCGTGTTATGTTTACCTGTCGAGACCCGTGTTATGTTTACCTGTCTAGATCCGTGTTTACCTGTCTATACCCGTGTTATGTTTACTTGTCTAGATCCGTGTTTGCCTGTCTAGATCCGTATTTACCTGTCTAGACCCGTGTTATGTTTACCTTTCTAGACCCTTGTTTACCTGACTTGACCCGTGTTTAACTGTCTAGACCCGTGTGTTGGCCCGTGACGAACCTAACGGCTTTAGTTACAGGTATGTTCCATACACTTCTGCCATCAATTTTAATGTCAACCGGTATTTGACATCTCACAAAGAATTGATTTTTAATTACCTTCTTTTAAAATTAATTAAACCTACGGCGAACTGACTGAATTGATAAAAAAATTAATTAAATCGTATCTGTTAAGAGCTGGTAGATTTGACCATCGGTGTATTTGTTATGAACTGATGTATAACCTCTGCCGTCATTTCCAACATCAAATGCCTATAATCTACACTACACCGTGTCTATATGTATTATCTTATTGTCATTATGTAAATAAAGCACAGTCAATAAGGAAGCAAAGGTGAAACGAATCATATGTAAGAATTACCATCCGTGTATTGTTTGACTTAGGTGTATAAAAGCGGGAGTCGACCACAAGACGGAAGCTCCACAGGACCACATAACGACACACCACATAACCACACGTTATCAGTTCAACAGACGGAGACATCCGTACAAACTCAAACACCGCGATCTGGTTTCACCAAGGGCAGACGACCGACGTCACGCTATTGTCCATTGATTATCCGGTAAACGGAAAAAAAGTCACAGGAAAAAAAAACACAGAAAAAAAGTCACAGTTTTTGCTAGGAAAAAAAGTCACGGAAAAAAAGTCACAATGGAAAAATTTTATCGGTAAAAAAGTCACAGAAATAAAGTCACAGAAAAAAAGTCACAAAAATCTGTTTAGAAATGTTTTGATTTATTTGTTAATAATTGTAAAATTGTGTGTATTTATTGTTGTGGGTTGTATTTTTGATAGCAAAAATTATTTATAGACGTTAAAAGCATTATGGTTTTTAAAAATTGTAAGTCAAAATAAAAATATTCTAAGATAAGTTACACAACAATCTCAACTTCTGTTACGTATTTAGTTAAATACATGGTAGAAAAGTTAACTGTAAAAGAAATTTAGGCACATCATTGTGTTTTGCATATGTTTTGCCGTAGGCTATTCTCTGGTCGGCCTCTCCTCAGTAGGTATTGTCCGAACATATTTTGTGTTGTTGACGTTTTGTGTCAATGACAGCCTTTGATCCTTGGCGGCTCTCTGTTTTGATCCTAAGTTTTGTTATGTAATGAGCGTGATAAATGTGGGCAGTAAAGGTGGTTGAACTAAGAATAATTATTGTTGCGATGAGTTGAGGGCAGTAATTCAGATGACCTTATCATTTCACGGTAATTTAATTTTAAAAAAAACACGATGAAAACCGTGGACATTCTATTAAATGCTATAAATATGATGTTTAACATAATTACAATCTACATAATTCATACTAAATATTTTAGATGAATTATAAAAATTACTATGCGTATACAACCTACACACATTACACATTACATTACATTTAGTTAATCCTAAGTTAATTTGCACTCTCTGAATATATAATACATAAAAGTATTAACAAATTCCATGCAAATATATATTTGTGACTTTTTTTCCTGTGACTTTTTTTCCTGTGACTTTTTTTCCTGTGACTTTTTTCTGTGTTTTTTTTTCCTGTGTTTTTTTTTCCTGTGACTTTTTTTCCTACAATCGATTATCCACCTTGTTAACGACCAAACGATGAGCCAAATTTAGACTTCAGCGACCATCGTCAGGTAATTTTGTCCCGAGCTGAGACGTAATAGTGCTGTACTGGTTATCGTTCGTACATTAGACGAGATTCTTACTTCCTCTTTAGAGCTATGTTTACACACAGTTCGTTGACCACAGTCAGAAATATGTTTTTAAATCTTTACTAAACTGTGTATGATAAACTCACCCACAAAAAAGTATAGATTCACTCACACATGAGTAGATTCACTTACAAAAAATTAGAGAATAAATTACACAAAGGTATAGTTTCATTCACTCTAGTA